AAGGGGAAGGAAGAAACAATAAAATAAAAAAGAAACAGAAAAACACGCTTTTTTAAAAAAGTAGGTTTTTCTTCAGCAAAAAAAAAAAAAAAAACGAGTTCTCAAGGCCAAGCGCAACTGCCAGGAGTTGGCATCCCTCGACAATTCGTAAAACAAGATGGTCGTGATGCGCGTCGTGCCAGCCAAGTGGCAGAAGCAGCAAAGGAGAAGGCGCGACGCAAGCAACACGAACAAAAAAAAAAAAAAAGAGAAAGAACAAGAAAAACAATAAAAACCACAATCAACCAAAAAAAAATAACAAACCTGTGAATCAAACATGCGGTTGCCGTTGGTGCGCTCAGCAGACTGCTCGTTCAAGCGGTTGTTGGAGCCACGGGGGTTGTGGTTGTAGCAGTCGGCCGAGACGGACACGACGAGGAGGGCGCACACGAGCGCGGAGGCAATCGCAGAGCGCATTGTTTTGGAGTTTTTTGTTTTTCGAAAAGAAAAAAAAATGAAAAAACAAAAAAAAAAAAGCCGCTTGATGTTGGACACAGAAGTGGCTTTGCTAGTTGAGGGAGACTACTCGGGCACAAGAGGAACAGAACGTGACCAGCGCGTGCTATTCAAGTATCAGAGCAGAGGACGGTCGGGGGAGAGAGCGACCCAAGAGACGAGCAAAAAAAAAAAACAAAGGAAACGAAAAAAAAAAAAAAGAGAAAAAAAAAACCACGAAGTTTAAAAAAAAAAAGATAGTCCTCGTCCAAAATAGGGAGGCTCATGTTCTGAAGTGCAAAATAAACGGCACTACAAACATCACGTATCAAATGCCTGTTTTAACCCAAAATAAAAGGTTACGGATTTTTTTTTGCAAGCGGCGTGTTTTCTACCCAAGACGGATTTTTCAGTAAATTATGTATTTTTGGTGGTGTTTTGTTTTTTAATTTTTGGAAAAAAATTTCATTGTTTTTTTTTCTTTGCGGGTTTAGTAGATTTCGTAATGGTGTTCTATACAACAAAACCTACTAAACAGGCACTTTTTGTGTTTTTGTTTTTTTGCTTTTTTGCGGTTTTTATTTTTTATTTTTTTTATTTTTGTGATTTTTAGATCTTGCCTAATCGAACCTTCTAGACACAAAAACATTAATCATTCTTTTTTTTTTTTTAATTTTAATTTGTTATTTTTTTCTTTTTGTTTTTTGAAAAAAAAAAAACCAGCGTGTCTTTGTCGCTTGTGCCTTTTTTTTTTTCAAACTTGTTCCGTCCTCCACGTCCCCTGTGCTCGTCTCTTACTCGACACTCTCCACCTTTAAGGCTTGCGACTCAACGTTGTTTACGCGCTGGCGCGTTGTTGCAAGAAGAGCTTTTTCTCCCCTTTTGAAAAAAACAACTCTCCGATCTCTTTTTTTTTTATTTCTTTTTTTTTTTTTCTACTTTGAACAAGTTTCCCTCTAGAATGAAGGTTGCTGTTCTCCTCCTCGTCGGCCTGTGCGCGACCTTCGCCAATGCCGACATTTACTTGCACAATGCCCGCGGTGGCAACAACCGTCTCGACGAGGCCAACCGCGACCGCAACAATGGAAACCGTCTTTTCGACTCGCAAAACAACGACCGTGGTGGCTCGAACGTCGGCTCGCTCTACTACTATGTCGGCTCCCAGCTCCCCATCACCTGGTGAGTCCCCTCCCCCTCTTCTCCTTCGTATTTGTGCTTTTGTTGTTGGTTTTTTTTGTGGGAGAGCAGCGCAGAGCAAGGCAGAGCAGCCACTTTGTTTTTTCGCGCTTTTTTTTTATTTTTTATTTTTTTCAATTGTGGTTTTTTTATGTGTTTTTTTTTTATTTCGAAAAAAAAAAACAAAACAACCAAAACCTGCTTTCCGCCTTTTTCTTTTTTTTTTTTCTTTGCTGTTCGTTCGACACTCACCCCCCGCGCGCTCCGTTTGACCAAACCCCTGCTCCCCCCCCCCGCTTCCTCACCCATCCCAAAAAATCCCAATTGGAATATTGCAGGACCAACCAACACTCGTGCAACAACCCGAACGCCAAGTGCAACATGGTCATCCAGTACACTTGCGACGACCGCATCCGCGATGGCACGACCACCAACACCATCCCCACGACCCCGAACCAGTGCGAGAACAACAACTGCGACACTGACGTCGAGTACGGCCGCCACGAGTCGCTGAACTGGTACAACTACTGCAAGTACCGCCAGCGCAACAAGGGTCTGTTCACTGCCAACCAGAACCTGAACGGCGACTCTGCCCGCTTCACTCGCCAGAACAACGCCGGCACCCGCCGCGGCTACGAGTGCCCCGAGGAGCGCGACTACTACCCTTACTGGTACCCGACCGTCTGGCGTGACATTGCCGTCCTGACCAACGACGCCACCATGTGCCCCTACTACACTGCCCAGTCCCAGAACGTCAAGTCGCGCTGGTACTGCGCTGCTCCCCAGGCCTTCATCAACGACCGTGCTTCCCGCAACCAGGAGGGCTTCATCCCGATCACCAAGGCGCAGTGCGAGGCCATCTACTTTGCCGGTCAGAACGGCACCTGGGTCGAGTCCCCCGCGTGGGGCATTGCCGCCCCCATTTGCCGCGAGACCGACTGGACCCGCGACAACCACCTCGGTAACGGCCTGCTCTTTGGCGAGAACGCTGGCTTCAACTGGACCATCCCCGCTGACCTTGTCCACGACAAGTGCGTCCTCCGCCTCCGCTACAACATTTCCACCACCGACTATGACGACTGGACCCACGACGGCAGCGTCGCCGCCGATTCTGGCGATTCCACCTACAACACCCAGCCCAACAACATCCCCGCGCAGGTCGACGTCTGGTCCAAGTTTGGCATTTCCAAGGCTGAGGTCCAGGTCCAATTCGACGCTGCCACTGGCAACCGCGATGGCAACAACAATGACAACGCCGCCGTTGTCAAGAACTCGCGCGGCTACGTGTTCAAGAACAACCCCCGTGTGGACATTTTCGGCAGCCTCCTGAACTCCCAGATTGGCGACACGCGTGTTCGTCTGCAGCTCGCCATCAACACCAACCAGTTTGGCCGCACCTTCCAGGACCGCACCCACACGTTCCAAATCCGCGAGCGCCCCGACGAGCTCAAGGACACGACCATCTACAACGTCAACGTTCGCGGCAAGCGCGGAAACATTGTCCAGACCTACCCCGGCACCGAGTACGACTTTGTCCCGAACCGCCTGCTGGTCAAGAACGGCGAGTATGTGCACTTCCAGTGGACTGGCTCCAACACCAACCCCGACAACAACGCCGGCCAAGGCAAGGCGGGTACCGATCGTCACAACGTTGTTGGCATCCGCGCGCCCGTCTATGCCGAGGGTCAGCCCACCTCTGGCCTGAAGGTTTATGGCCAGCTCGGCAGCTCGTACCCCAACCGCATTGATGGCTCGACTCCCTTCCTCGGCTTCAGCCAGCTCGACCGCCAACACCTTGCCATTCTCGACAACCTCCAGCTTGGTGGTGAAATGTCCGAGCTCGACGACGCTGGTACCTACTTTGACCTCGGCCCCAAGGCTGTCTCCTCCCTTGGTGTCTACCACTACCTCTGCACCCGCAACAACAACTTCTCCAACCGTGGCCAGAAGGGCACTGTCATTGTGAGCGACAACAAGGTTGTCACGACTGCTCTCGGCTGGAACGGCGGCTGGGCTGTTGCCGACGACAAGAACCGTCTCTGGGCTGATGTTGGCACGTTCAACCAACTGTGGCCCGTCACTGTCAACACCATCCCCGTGGGCTCTCTTGACGCCTTGCCATTCGATTCGGTTGCCTCGCACTTTGTTGAGGTCTACCCGCCGGAGCTCGCCACCGCCCCTGGCAAGACCTTCACCCTGCAAATGGCGTACGAGTCGTCTGCCACCGAGACGTTCGCCGTCTACCGTGCCCCCACCCGCAACGCTGCCATCTGGACCCAGGTCGACGCCGACATGTCTGGCGACATTGCTGCCGTTCAAGGTACCCAAGGCGGCGCCTACGTCGTTGTGAACAAGCCCAACGTTGGCGCCATTGTTGGTGCCACCGTTGCTTGCGTCGCTGTCCTCGTTATTGTCGCAACTACTGTGATCTACTTCAAGAAGAACCCCGCCAAGTGGGAGGCTGCCAAGAAGAAGGCCATGTACCTCAAGCGCTCGATGGACTCTAAGGTGTAAACGAGCTTTTGAGTTCTCTTAGCTTGTTTATTTCAAGAAGTCACAAAAAAAAAACCAGTGTGCCGTTTGTTGTTGATGTTTTCTTCTGTGTGCGTTGTTGCTTTCTCCTTGTGTTTATTTTCCCTCTCTCTCCCCCGCTCTTCTTCGAATCTTGCCGGACAAGCTATTTGGTCTTGTGCGCGCTTGTCGCAAACTTTGATCACTTGTTTGCGCTGGTTTGGAAGGAGGGGGGTTTTGGTTTTATTGTGTTTTTTTGTTCCTGTTCTGTGTCTTGCGGGGGGTTGTCTGGCATGTTTGGGCAGAGTTGTGTGTTGTCTTTGTGAGGGCGTTTGCCTCGTTTCTTTCGTCCGCTGGTTCGGATTACAAGGATGAGACACTCGCCATCGCAACAGCAACATGCAGCAACCTTTTACTGTCCATCTGCTGGAACGCTCTCGTCCAATGACACGGAACAAGGCTTCACACTCGCAATGTGCCATTCCCCCATCTTTCCCGTGTACTTGCTCTGTTGCTCTGTCAGGCATGTTCCACGATTTTACAATTATATTTGAATTTTTACAATCGCTTCCTTGCAATCACGGTTGGCAGTTGGCAGTGAGTGGGGGAAACTTGCGAACGGATGAACGAGAACCAAAGTTTTATTCATGTGCTTGCTCGACTACGATACGGATAGTCGTTGCCAGCACGACAGGAAAGCTCACAAACAACAAATCAAATGTACACACAGACGTGGAAAACCACCTCACTAGGTCTTGTTGCCAAGGCCATGCATGGCCCTGATACAGTAGTAATGATTCTACTGCGATCGGATGGCGGTTGGCGGCTGGTCCTTTTGCAGCGACCGCACCTGCCGCAACTCTTCGGCAATGCGCAGGCGGTAAACTTCCGTGAGCAAGCGGCTCTTCTTCTTGCCACCGACGCGGATGCCCATTTCAGTCAGGTGCGCTGCGCTGAGGCGAAGCAGAGCGAATCCGTTCATGCCGTGCTTGAGAAACAGCTCGGACACGTCCACGTCCAGATCCAGCGCTTGGACCCACTCGACCACCTGGTTGACTGTCCAGTCACTCACCGACACTGATTTTGTTGGTGCCAGAGAGAGGCGGAGATAGTGAGTGAGTGAGTGAGTGCACGTTCACCAATTGCTCGCTCAATCAACCGCTCAATCAACGCCTCATCTACACTCGCTGGCGCGGTTGAGTACTGGCGATGCGACGACTGATGAAAGTCCATCCAAGCAATCAATCATACGAGTCTTACTTGCTGACTCTGCCTGCATTGGAAGAAAGGCTGGGTTTTGTTGGGAAGCTCAGCCAATCTGAGTGAATGAGGAATGATCAGCTGAGGCAACTTGGCTTCAAGGATGGTGTGTTGCTGCATCATCCTATTTGAGTTTTTGATTCACCCGAATTACTTGAAAGTCGTGTTTTGATTAATCCGAGAAAGGATTCCAATTTCGAGTCAAAATCAACACCATCCTGGTTCTCTTAAACACGATTTGCATACACATCCATTGTACACCTGGAGGTGGGAAATGACACAGACAACAGCAATGCTTTTGGCAAAAAATGTACAGAGTCGTTCGCACAGGAACGCGCACACAACAAAAGCAAAAACACAAGCCAGAGCAAAAGAGTCCGTGTCAGCACAGCTGAAACATGGACAGGGAGTGTTGCCGCTGGTTCTCAAGAGAAGTAACAATGAAGGAGCAAACAAAACACGACACAAAAATGACAAACAACACAATGGCAGCCCACGCCACACATAAACTCACAACAAACTCACAACAAACAAATACACACACGGCGTAGCAATGAAAAAGAAAATGGCGTACGTTCCCTTGATAGGTCTCGTAAGCGAATGCAAAGAACAAAAAACCCCACACAAGAGTGATCAAGAAGCAGGACCGAGATTCATAACAAACAGGACTGACTACTTGGCTCATCCAAAAATCCCGCCAATCTTGTCAATGGCGTCCCTGACACCATCTTCGGCGTCGTTGAGACCGTTGGTAATGGCATTGCCAACATCCTGAGACCAATCCAAGAACTGGTCGAGGAAGGCGTTGGGCCAGCAGCCAGTGTCGTAGAAGGTAAACATGCCGTTCAAGCACTTGCCGTCCGAAGCGACATCGCCACAGCGCCACAGGCCGTTGTCGTTATGGTAGCACTTCTGACCATTCGAGCACATGCTGTTCACCAGGCAGTTGGGGAAGAGGGGCACGTTATCCATGATCAAGTCCATAATGTCCAGGTTGAGGCGCGGGACGGAGAGTGTCAGCGTCTTGGTTTCGCCCTTGAACGAGTACGACAAGCTGGCGGAAGGAAGCTGGCTGCCAGTGACAATGCCAAGCGTGCTAAAGTCAGCAATGCCGACAGAGTTGATGCGGAAGGACATGATGTCCTTGACAATCGGAATGTCCAAAATGTCGCCAATGATCGGGATGTCGTCCAGATTCCTCAAGAGGCCGACAAAAGCGTCGACGCGTGCGTTGATCTTGGCAAGCGAGAAGAACAGGGACATGCGGAAGTCGAGCGGCGACAACTGCAGCGAAGTTTGAATGTCGACATCGACGGCCAGCACTGTCATGGATGCATTCAACTGGAAGCCTGCGGGCACATAGATCATGGGCAGGGACGAAGGCACGAGGCCATTGTCAACGGTGATTTGCGTAATGTCCGGAATGACCATGTTCGACGACGCAATTTGGACGGTCAGCGAGTTGAGCGACAGCAGATCGCTCACCCAGGCGGGCACGGCGTTCATGTTGATTGTGTTGGGCTTGAGCGTGTTGATAAACTGCAAGAGATCAATCAACGTCAGGGGCTGGCCAGAGTACGACGCCTTGACAAAGCCGCCATAGGCCGCCAGGTCGAAGGCACCAAGGAAGGAAACCTGTCGGCGACCAATGGACAGAGACGCTCCAAGCTGCAGGTAGGTCAGGCAAGGCGGGCAGAGCGAGCCAAAGCCAATGCCGACGCTGGCGGCGTTCAGGGTGAGGCCCGTGATGCCAAAGGCGTTCCGCCAGCCAGTTCCGTACATGTATCCGACCGCGCGAACGTTGACGCCAGTGCTGTCGGCAATGACCTTGCCAGACACTTGGAAGCTCAGCAAAGTGGTCTGGTCGGCTTGGAAGCGGAAGTTGGTCGAAATTTCGAGCGACCCAGTCACGCCCGCACGGCGCAGGCGCTGGTGGTACTCGTGCAGCAACTCGGGGCTCAGGGGCGCATCGAGGTCGTGGCCGACGGTCTGGGCTGCGAGGGCCAGCTCATTCACAAGAGAGTCTGCCGAACGGCGAGTGGACAGCACCGAGAACTCGGCCGCAAGCTTGACCCAGGACAAGGTGAGGCGCGAGTTGAGAGCCATGGCTCGCTCGCTCTGGATGAAAATCTTGAAGGTGCCTCCGGAAACAGTGGCGGGCAAGACGACGCCAAACCGGAAGCCAAGTTGACGGAACTGAGGCGGAAGAACGTTGCGAAGAAGGGTGAGCGAAGGGTCCTCGCAGTCGGAACGCGTGCTCTGCTCGGCCACGGTGCAGTTGCGGTTGCTGCGCTGCAAGCTGACCAAGAGCGAGATGCCGCGCTCAATTTCATACGTTGCACCGCCAGAGACCAGCTGCTGCGGAGTGGGGTTGGTCGAAATGGAGACGCCCAGGTTCAGGCCGCTCAGCTGAGCTTGCAGTGCGTCCGCGTTGGGGATCGGGGCCAGGTTTTTGAACGCGTGGTTGACGAGTGCCGCGACGGCGCCGGCGTTAATGTCGTAGACGGCAAGGTACATGCCGCCGCTGGCGATTTGGCCACGGACGGCAACGTTGACGGACGACCCGAACAGCAAACGGGTGGCCACATCAAAGCGGTTGCTGGAAGGCGCAGAGGATGAGAAGGTTGCCGAAATCGAGGTGCTCGCCACGCGCAGCCACGAGAGACCAAGAGGGTTGTTCCACTCTGGCAGGTTGCCGGCAATGGTAAACGAGGTAGAATCGCGCGAGAGGTCGGCACTGCCGACCAGGACGAACTGGGAGCCGCCGCTGGAAAAGACGAGGGAGGAGCCGAGCGAAAAGCGAGTGCTCGCCACGTTGGCCGCGTTGAACGAAGCGCCAAGCGTGTTGTTGCGCAGGGCCAGCTTGCCGTCCCACAAGGACAGGTCGGGCAGACGCATCTTGGCATTCCAGATGTGGTCGATGCGGTTGCCAAAGGCATCCAAGAGAGCGCTGTTGAGATCGCGGCGCGGGGACCCTGTGGCCATGGATCCAAACACGGGAAGGGTAATCTGCAGACTGGGAATCGGGTTGGGGATGGCAACGCCGAGAATGTTTTGCACCGACTGCGCAATGGGCGACGAGCCAAACTTGAGCGAGACATTGTCGGCAGCCATGGTGAGACCTCGAGACACGGGACGGCCACCGAGGGACTGGTCTGCCGTCGACAAGTACACAAAGACGGTGCCGTCGGCATCAATGAACTGCTTGACGTCCGACGGAATGACTGGCGAGATGGCGACGCCGCCGTCCGTGAAGATGTAGAATTTGCCATTCTCGTAACTGCCGCTGAGCGTCACAGACGGACGGGCGTCGGCGTACTCGAGGCGCAGGGAGGTGCTGAATGCAATGTTGGCAACGCTGGGTGCGAGGGTGACAGTGGCCGTGGCCGATTGAACAGTCAGCACGGTCAGGCCGAACGGGCGCATCCAAGGCGTGGCCAGTCCACCGGTGGCAGTGAACACTTGCGTGGCCGACGTGTACGAGCCGGCCACGTTGAAAACGACAGTTTGGGATCCGGGCAAAAACACGTTGGCAATGCCGCCAAAGTTCAAAGTGGCCGTCGAGAAGGAGGACGAAACGGTCAGGGCAAAGAACATGTTGCTGAAGCGAAGACGAGAATCCACATCGTACGACGGTACAACAACTTGGACGACATAGGAGGAGCCAGGAGCAAAGAAGGGCAAGAACGCAGAGACCCCAACAGTGGTGGTGGCCAAGCGGGAGGACGCAGACGAAATGGCAGACGTCAACTCTGAGCGCACGGCATCCCGAAGCGGGACGCCATTCACAGTCACACCAAGGCCGCGCTTGACGGCAGACCCAGCAATCGTCATGTCGGCACTAGCCAGCGACAAATCAATCACTCGGCCGTTGGTCAGCACGCGAACCACATCCGCAACAGCACCCGGCGCACGGGAAGCAATCACGTTGCCCAAGTTGGTCAGCTGAATACTCGGCGCATACACGCCGAGCGCGTAAGAGCCGCCATTCTTCTCAACACGGGCGTAGATACGAGCGCTGCCAGAGAATTCGCCCACAGACAGAGTGGCACGGCCAGCAAAGTCAAGGTACGACAGCGCAAAGGCAGGCGCAGCAGTAAACTCGCCCGATACGATGGCAGAGTCGATACGAGCCCACGCAGCGTTCGAAAACACGGGGAAGGCGCCAGTGAGCGATCCGGTGAAGGTCACAGGCTCGTTCGCAGCGTAATCAGCGCTGAAAGCGAGGTTGACTGTGGACGGAGTGCCGGATTCCGTGGCAATCTTGAGAGCCACCGATCCAGCGACCTGGTACGTCGGATTGGTGCTGATGCCGTTGGCAATGAGCGAGAATGAGCCGGAGGCAAAGTTCGAGCCGAACTGCAAGTCGGTGGTTTCGAAGGCAAGGTCGAAAGAGGCATCCGTGACGGTGAAGGTGTCTGTTGCCGCGTTGTACGGGAAGGCAGCATGCAACACAAAGTCCACAGAGCCGATGGGGTTTTTCAGGAGCGGAGTAAGGGCCGCCGTCACGCTCGCGGGCGGGGACAGGATAGAACCGTGTGCGAAAATGTTGACACCAGGTTGAATGGTGAGTCCGTCAAGTGAGGCAGAGGTCGTCGAAATGACAAACTTTCCGGCAGAGGTGATTTGTAGCGAGTTAAACCAAGAGTTTGGGCGGGAATTGAGGGCTGCAGACAGACCTGGGAGGTGTGCTGAAGGGTTCCATGACGCGTCGAAGTCGCACGAGAGGAATGTTTGGACATCCTTGGGCGAAATAATGGACTTGGACGTCAGGCCGAGCAGGTTGGAAGGATCTGCAGTGACACTCACGCAGCACATGGTGTTCACCAGGCCGTACAAGGTTGCGTTGCCGCAGAACGATCGAGACAAGGGGCCCACTGCAAAGGGAAGCAGGGAGGCAACTTCGGTAATCCACGTGTCACGGACAAACGTGTTGAGGACAGTATCGGGATCAATGTTTGAGACGTTGCGGAAGACAATTGCAGAAGTGCCGAGCAGGGAAGAGAGCGCGGGAGCAAAGGACGGTGCCGCGAGGAAGGAAGCTGCGGTGACGGTGGTTGAGCCGTCGGGAGCAATCGAGAAGGCGCTCGCATAGGCGTTGGACACGACCTCGCTGGCCTGGTCGTTCGAGGTTGTGTTCATGCCGTAGTACGCAGCGATCGGAGCGACAACCAGCAGCACGCCAATCAGCAGCGCACCAATGAGCCACCATCGGTTGCGACGAGCCGCCTCGCGCTCAAAGCGCAGCGGCGCGGGCAGCCAGCTCGGGCCCAGATAGTAGCTCTTGGTCGGGTAGGCCGTCGAGGAGGCGCGATGGGACTTGTGGTGGAACTGATCGGCCTTCATGTTGGGATCAAAGACATCCAACGGGATTTCGTGGAGATTTGCGTTCGAGGAGGCGCGGGAGGACGTGTTGGCGAGCGGGTTGACAGTCAGCTGCGTGTTGAGCGCGCTCTGAGCAGCAGCGTCCGACGCGTCTGCGCGCGGTGCTCGCTTGCTCGGCTTCGGAGGCTTGGGAGGAGGAGCCACCACCTCGGCAGCAGCGGGTGCCTCGACATCGACTTGCGGCTGATCCTGGTCAACAGAAGGAGTGTCGTCGTCGTTGTTGTAAGTCCCGGGCTCAGCCTCAATAGCAGCACCCGTAGGCACGACAACCGCGGCAGGTCCGCCAGGCGCGACGCCAGTGGTTCGGAAAAAGCCAGAGAGGGCTCGCTTGGTGCGTTGGAACGACGAGCCTCGTGGGCGCGCGTCTGGCAAGGCCTGCGGCTGCAAGTGTGGAGGAAGGGACATGGATGGTCAGTTACAGGTGCAAGTCCTCCGCCACTCCGTTTTCCATGCCAAAATTTTTTTGTTCAGCGGTCAGCGTCGAATTGTACGCCAGCTCAGACACAATGGCAATGGCTCAGCTCAAAGGAACCAAAAGAACGCCAGCAATGCCAAATAAAGGAGGTCGTTTTTCTTTTTTTTTTTTCTTTTTTTTTCTTTTTTTTTCTTTTTTTTTTCTTTTTTTTTTTTTTTTTCAAATCAAATTGGAGCCATTTGTGATGGCATATGTCCAATGCAGAATCAGCGTTTGATGAGAACAAGGCATCAAAGACCTCCACACACACACACACACACACACACACACACACACACACAGGCACACTTTGTCGTTCGTGGTTGCAATCTGTGTTTGAGTGTTTCGAGCACCGACAACCTGAAACACGAGCGAGCGGCAGTGGGAGCGAAACCAGAAAAGCGGTCAATATTTTTTTTTTTTTTTTGCATTGGCCCTTGCAAGCATGTCTGTCTGCATCCAGGTCTGCGAGTTCTCGCTCTTCCAGTGCATGCATGGCTCGCTTTTTTCCTCTGTGTGTGTCTCGCTGTTTCGCTGTTTCGCTCATTCTCGCTCGCTTTCGCTGGGATTGAAAACGCCGATTTTTAAAAACCGCGAAAAAATTAATAAAAAAATCATAAATTAAATGCAAAAAAGCAGCAAATAGAAAAAAGCATGCGGAAGGGTAAAAAGCGAGCAGAGCAGCAACCGCTATGAGGGAAGGAGGGGGGAGGGGAGCCGGTGGGGTGGACAGGGTGGAGGGGGGAGTTGCAGATGCGAACGACAGCGAAGGGAAGGCGAAGGGGAACGAGCGCGAGAGGGCAGGGGAAGCAGGTGGAGCTCATCATTTTGACCGCGCTCCCCATCGCCATTGCTCCCCCCCCCCCACCGCTTTGCCTCCCTGCATGTCACTCGTCAAAGCATGCATTGGGGAAAGGGGGTGGGTTGTCGTGGGAAATGGTGGAAGCGCGCGCTTACTGCAGACGACGGGGCGCCAGTCACACGCAGATTGCGCGGCGCTGGGATGGGTTTGGACATGAGAATCCTAAACCAAGCGGCTGAGAAAGATGAACCAAAAAAAAAAAAAAAAAAGGAAAAGAGGAAGGAAAAGAAAAAGAAAAATGAACCGAAAGCTCAGTGGATCGGACGGGTACGCGAGACAAGACCTGAGCCGAAACTTTAGACTGTTCCGTGATTCCGACGTTCGAGAACTACTTCTCAAAAGGGGCTTCGGCACCAAGACGCAATGAAATCTGCTTCGTACTTCCAAAGCCATACTAGTCAACATGCGATCTTGCCGCTTACTTCTTGGAAAACTTTCAACAGAAGCATATTGCAGCAGATGTGCAGGACAAATCTTTAAAAAACGTAAAACTTTCGTCCATTTTAGCTTGCTTGCGCTTTGTGGGCTTTCGTTTTTGGCCTGTCGCTTGCACATTGTCCATTAAGCAGTGCTAAACCTGACATAGGAAGAGGCGTGTTTCTCTTTAATGAGGGAATGAGGGGAAAGGTCGCTACATTTGGACAACTACAAGTCTAGTCTTCTCGGTTTTCGACAATGGTCGAAGTGAGAATCATTCGCTCCGTTGGCTCGGTGATCTCCAAGCTAATACAAGTCACTCGTGGCTCAGTTTCCGAAGACGCTACAGCCGACCTGAACCAAGCTCTCGCTCATCTGAGGGACTTCGAAATTGAAGTATCCAATGAGATCCCGGATCCAACCTCCAGTCGACTGTTCCAAGATTATGTTGCTCAAGAGCTTCTCAAGGTGCTTCGACACAAGACGCAATTTGGCTGCTTTGTATTTCCAAAGCCCCACCAGACAAGCCGAGATCTGGCCGCCTTTTTCTTGGAAAGGTTTCAACAGAAGCGCATTGCTGCAGATATGCAGGGCTAATCCTTACATTTTTCGCTTACTTGCTCTTTGTGTGCTTTCGTTACTGGCCTGTCGCTTGCACATTGTCAATAAATCAGAGCCAAACCTGACACGGGAAGCACTGAAGCAGAAAATGGGTCGCTAAATTTGGAGCGCCGAGAGTTTTTGTAGTCTTGTTTTTCAGCAATGCCTCATGTCGTAAAGATTCGCACCGTGGACTCGGTGATCGCGAAGCTACTGATGGTCACTCTCGGCACAGTTTCCGCAGATGCTACTGACGACCTGAGCTTTGCTCTGGCTTTCCTGAGGGGTGTTCCAATCGAGGCACCAGCCGAGATTCCCGACCCAAATGCCACCCGATTATTCCAAGACTACGTTGTTCAAGAACTTCTCAAGGTGCTTCGGCACAAGACACGCATTTTTTTCTGCCTCGTCCTTCCAAACCAATCTCAGTCACGGCGGGATCTGGCCGCTTACCACTTGGAGCAGTTTCAACAGAAGCGCATTGCCGCAGATATGCAGGGCTAATCCTTACATTTTTCGCTTGCTTGCTCTTTGTGTGCTTTCGTTACTGGCCTGTCGCTTGCACACTGTCAATAAACCAGAGATAAACTTGACACGGGAAGAGTCGTGTTTCTCGTCAATGCCAATGCGGGGAAAGCTAAATTTGGACAGCGGACGGAAAGTGTGAAAACCCAACACCCTCTCGTTGTCTCGTTGGGATGAATCCGAGAGAAATGGTAAGTTGATGGGAGGTAAAGAAACAAATGGACAAGGATGGAGCTAAGGAAAAGCATTGACTCGTCGTTCAACAAGAGGCAATCAACATGTAAACTGGCAAAAAACAACAACGCACACACAGTTGAGTCGTAGACTCGTGGAAAAAAAAACAGAGGACAGCCACCCTTAGTGGTGCATGTGGATTGAGGAGAACACGGAGCCAGAGGGTGGCGGCAGCGCAGAATACCGCTTGTAAAAGCTGCGACAGTCCGAACACAGTGGATGGGCTCGGTGCCGTGGATCCTCGTACCAGGTGACCGAGTGCGTTGTATGGCAGTGCTCACAATGCTGGTGCGGCGAAAGCTGTGAATGGTGGTGGGTGTGAGATCGGTGGTGGCCGGTACTGCGATGCGAATGGTGATGCTGATGGTGGCGGTGATGGTGAAGGTGGTGGCTGTGGTGGTGGTGCGATTCAGGTGCAGAGACTTTAGGAGGCGGCAATGGGTAGGGATGTCGCTCCACGTCCATGCCAGCGCTGCTGCTGCTGCCGCCGCCCAAGGACGACAAAATGTGCAAAGACCGAGGAGAACGCGGGCCGGAGAGCGCGCTGTCCGACGAAATGCTGATAATCGGCGCGCTGGCATCCCTGGGTGCTGAAGGGTGGAGCACTTGCTCGCGCAACCACCCGAGAGGCAATCGTGGAGTGGTGGCTTCAAGGCGGAGGTCGACAACGGCCTCAATCGACATTGTTGCACGCTGATCTGCTCCTTTCGTGCCCCCTAGCACGTTGTTCGCAGCAGCGATGGCAGCAGCCGCTGCCGTGGTTTGCGCCTTCCACGCTCGATACCGCAAGCTTCCTTTCCAGCGGTAGTAGATGGCGACAATCTCGCCGGTGCTGCGATGGGGCAAAAAGTGAGACCGAATCAGATGAAACTTTTTGCCGTGTGCAGCAAAGCCGCGCTCAAAGGCCAGAACATCGTTGCGGGTCCACGCATGGCTGTCTGTGGCATGGTGGTACTTTGGATAGGGCACAGGCCGGGCTTGCGGAGTATTTTCCGCGGCAATGCCGTCCTGCTCTTGCACGGTGAAAAAGTCGGCGTCAATGGCCGTCCCCAGCAAGGTTGGTGGCAAAGGTGCGCGCGCAAGCGCCTCGAGCGCCAGGCGAGGAGTGTAGTCGTGCTTGTACAACGTATGCAGCGCGTAAATCAAGGCCGAATTCGAACTGGCCCAGTCTAATAGTTCATTCATGTCGCGGTTGGAGGCCACGACATCCAGACCAAACGCGGCCAAACACGCGTACGTCATGAGCGACCGGGCATCCGTGAGATACTTTTGCAGCATGGATGCTGTCGCTTTTGGCGAGGTTTTGGAGATGAGACAGGGGAAATCAAACATAATCTCGCTCGAATCGACATAGTCTGAATGTGCGGGCTTCGATTCACCTTTCAGGAAGAGTGTGGGCGGGTTTGCATCGGAAGAAGCAGCAGCCGCCGGCGCAACAGCAGCATGCTGTCCAAATTGCACGAGCGGAGGCTCGATCTGGTACTCGGGACTAATGCGCATCGTGCCAGGCCCTTCGAATGGAAGGCTCTTGAGCGAGTTGCGCCGGTAGGACGAAGGCACTAAAGGATAAGTTGTGGTGCCAGGTATCCGCGCCAAGCTCAGCAGCTGTGAACGATGATCCAGAATGTACGAGTAAAAAAACGTGTCCTCCTGCGACAAGTAGTCAGAAATGGAAGAAATGGTCGACAAGTGTTGAACACGGCACTTGGAAATGGCCGCCTCGGAGCTAAGAAGCGTCACAAAGGTGGACAAGAAGAGCTCGCGGTCGCGCAGCTGGTTGTACGCCAAGGTCGGGTTTTCGCCTCCAGCAGGAGTTCTGAAAACAGGTCCAGGGAGCTCCATTCTGCGGTAGTACCACGCCACTCGAAGATCACAAGGCTGCCTTGGGTCTGTTGGTCAGTAGAAGGCCGGTATAGGTGATGCACGATGAGCACTCAAGGCGCATCAAAAACGATGCAACTTCAACCGACGTGAAACAATAAAAAATCAAACTTACCAAAGGGGTAGGTGGTGGGAAGAACGTCGACAATACGTCCAACAGTGAAGGGCAAATGGCGTTCCGAGCTTTGACAGTAGACATCGTCTTGTTTGAGGAAGACGAACAAAGACCCAATCAGCAAATACACTCGAGTCAGTGCAACAGTCCAACAAACTTGAAGGTGGTGTTGCTGGTGTTGCAGAGCGCGCAAGACAACAAAATCGCCGACAAACCCGAGCCACTCACCTCCAACGTGAAAAACGGTGCCCTGCGCGACTGCCATACGAGCGGGATTGGGTGTGACTTCAAACCGAATATAGGCCTTGTTCAGAGCGTGATAAGCATGAGGAATCTGATCGAAAGTATCTGCCGTATCCTGGTGGCCCATACGCTCGGCGTCCGCTTGTGCGGCCTCGGCTGATTTCTCGGGCGAGAATGGAAATCCGCTCAGATAAGCGTCGAGACCTTGAGTTACAGGTACAGCATGGCCATGCGGTAACTGTAGTCCATCATGATGGTTTGGATGTGCGCCAGCAGCAGCAGCCCCAGCAGCAGCAGCAGCTGCAGCAGCAGCAGAAGAAGAAGCCGAATGAAACCCAGCTCCATCGACATGCAGCAAATCGTCCCACGGCGCCGCTGCGTGTAGTCGTGAACCCAGCAGAGGAACGCCATTTCCGTTCTGATGAACGTTTCCAGTGACGTGGTCGAGCCAGATCGGGCCTGTGACGGAAGCTGACATTTCGCGCTCGAGCTGGTCTTCGTCCAGCAGCGCGTCGACAGCATCGACCGACGGGCCGACCTCGACGCCCAGCGAGTGCTCGTAGAAGTCTGCAATGCCCTGCCCGTGGACGGCAGCAGCAGCAGCAGCAGCAGCAGCAGCAGCCTGAGTGGGATTGACGGTCAGTGCTTGGACTTGGCCGTCGTGCTGATACAGGCTCCAGTTGTTCGCTCCAGCGCCGCCTGTGCCACGAATGCCGTCGTCCTCGTCGTCATCGTGATCATTGTCGTTCAGGCCATGCGCGGGCGCGGACCGATCGAGCAGCTCTGGCGGCGACGGCGGATCCCCCAAATCCATTTGTTGTTCTGCTTGTCTTCTAAGAAGCAAAAATGGAGGACTAGCGAGGCTCGAATAAATAGGAGACCTGAACTTGGCCAGTTCGTTAGTTCACGATCAGAGGCGTTACTTGCTGTTTGGTGCGCGTCTCAGAACTAGAGCGCAGTCGCTGAGATCCAAATGGCTGGGTTTTGACTCCGCTCCATCTGCAACATCATCATCAGCATCATCAGTATTCTAAACATCATCATTATTGTAAGCATTATTTATTATCACACACAATCGTCGTTGACTTTGTGGTGAGTCGCAGTCTCCATTCTGTGGTTGTTCAAGCAAGGCCAGCATTGGGGAGGACTCGTCTCCTCACTCGACGCCGGTGCTGCAGGCAACATCAAACAACCACGATGACAGCCGCGATGATAAAGTCGGGACTCCAACGCTATGCCGTGCAGCTGGGACGTCCATTGCCATCTCGGACGCGGATTGCTGGCTGCAGATTTCTCACAACGTCAACGCATGCATTACTACCAGCATCCAATCCAAACCCATTGGGTTATCTGTGCTCACCTACGGTAGGATGACGCGCTTCACGATAGAATACTCAAGCATACAACAAACAAAAAGCTAGCGGGCTCACTTTCAACGACATGTTTGGTATTGTTGGATGCGGTGCAGCAATTTCAGAACCTGCTCAAGAACGAAGCCAAGTAATGTCCTCAAACGTGTGATAAGCGACGCAAAAATGTGGTACACTCAATCGATGGTTTGCAACTCACTTGGCTGCAGAGCGGTCGATGCCTTTCTGAAAGGAACGAGGACGAACAAGACAACGTTTGTGCAAGAACTGGAAGCCACAGTGCGAGATCGACATGCAAGCCCGTCGTGGGACTGCATTGGAAAGTTTCTTTACTTGTTGCGTCAACCTGGAGAGTCATTGGGCTGGTTGCCGTCGGCAAGCTCAACCGGGGGTCGAGCCAAGTTGCCCACGTATGTTCGCCAACATTGCGAAACGGGTGCCATCCAGCCACTCTTGGAGTGTGGGCCGGATACTGGGGCACCTGTATCGCTTGCTTTATCTCCCGAGCAGCGTCTTGTCGCCTTCTTGTTTCCTACAAGGCGCGCGCACTGCTTTAACGCGAAAATCTTCGACTTGGGTTGGAGCAGCCATTCATCATCCGCGGTAGCGAATGCGCCGGCGCCGCGTCCAACCCTCGTTGCCGAACTGGACAATGTTCACGAGCTGGTGCTTGGTACGCTCAACGACACTGTCGCTGGTGTGCCCGTCTTTTTCACGCGCGCAACCCCAAGTGGTCGAGTCGATCGCCTCTTTGTTGCGGCCGTGCCGTCGCAAGCCTCACCAGCCACTAACTCCACCGCGTTCAAGCCGTACGCTCACCTGGTATACCAAGAAACCAACCCTGCCTTTTCCATCGACCTGTCTCGGACACACGATGCTCGATGGATTTGCGTCCGATCTGGAACGCGGACGCTGCAACATGTTTGGGTAGTAAACGGACGCACTCCCATCATGCTCCATCCAACCACCAAGCAGTCAAGGCTGCAGCTTGTGGACATTACTCTGAACAGCTCTGCTGTCGGTCGGGAGCACTACCTGAGCCACCGGAACGACCAATTTCTGCTGCTTACGAACAGCGGAGCGAATAGCGAAAATCAAGTCTTGTTTGCACCCAGTCCGCCTGCCTCCGATGAGCACGAGCCGATAGAAGGCATCACAATGCTGCTGGAGCGCCAGTCAAGCACGAAACTCTTGATTGAACAATCCGCTCCGGGCTTCTTGTGGACCGAGTGGTTGCCCAAGGCTGCGTTTCATGGTGCGTCGATTGTGGATATTCAGGTTCAAGACGGCCAGATTGTTCTCTTTCTATCGAAACGGGGCCGACCAGCAATCTCCATTGTCAGCTCGGTCGCTGCTGCCGCAGACACGACGCGACAATTGCATCATTTTGTTCCGCCCCACACCCACGCCAATCATCATCTGCAACAACTCGCGACGGATCGGCTGCTGACATTTTCATCAATGAAAACCGGCCAATTTCACATTATCTGGATTCATTTTGATGCGACCATTGCCAGCGTTCACCAAAGCAAGACCCCCAAGAATGGTGAATTGGCTCTTCGGTTGCGGTCGGCAGCCATTGCTCGAGACATTGAAGTGGGAATCGCAATGTGGCCAGCGCCAAAAGTGATTTGGGCACAACCGTCGTGGCTCTCGTCTTCCGAGCTAGCAGCCATGTCTACTGCCGACAATGCGGGATGGATGAGCAGGATGAGTCGGTTTCTTCATGAGCGGTATTCGCTCGCTCGCAATGGACCCGTCCCTCCGTCGCTCGATCTTGACAAGTTTGTCAGCTACTCGGTGCGTGCTCGCTCCTTGGATGGAACGACGATGGTACCCATCACCCTCGTTCACGCCATCGATGTACCGCTCGACCAGCCTGTGCCGCTCTTGGCCACTGGGTACGGCGCCTATGGAGAAGACGCCCTGGACATGTTTGGTCGAGATGAAATGACTGAGGCCTTGTTGAGGCGCGGCTGGATTCTTGCGCTGTGCCATGTCCGTGGTGGTGGCGAGCTTGGACGAACTTGGTATCAAGCGGGGCGTCGAGAAGGCAAACCAAACTCCTTCCTAGACTTTGCAGGCTGCATCCTAGCCCTACAGCAAAGACCGTTGGCGCTGACCAGCAATAATCCTGCCACCCGACCACCATGGTGCCCTGCTGACGCTCCCGGCACAACGCCCGAGAACTGTCGACTAGAATATGACAGCCCTTCGCCTGTTGGCACTCGCTCTGCCCCTTTCACAACTCCGCAAATGACCGCGCTCAAAGGCGTGAGTGCTGGCGGCCTACTGGTTGCCACGACGCTATTATCGTTTCCTGGAATTGCTCAAAGTGGAATCTTGGCATCTGCGTTCGTGGATCCCTTGGCAGAGATGCTGGACTCCACAAGAACACTATCCCAACGCGAGCACGACGAGTGGGGAAATCCGCTCGTTGATTCTTCCGCGCGCAAACGGATCGAGTCCTTCTCCCCAGTGACTCTTGCAGATAGTTCCTTGGCGTCCAGGCTGCGACAGGCTCAAGGCTTGGATGTGCAGCACCCACTAGGCTACCCATACTCGCACATGCTGTTTACGGTTGGCACGCGAGATACGATTGTCCCATTCACACAAACCCTGCGGCTCGTGGCCCAGCTTCGAGCTGAAACTGCCAAGAACGTCGGCAACGCGACAACACCATTGCTTCTGTGTCATGTCATGCCAGACCAAGGACATGTCGTAGAAGGTGCGTCCGCGTTTGTGCAAACTTCAAGTATAGAATTGAGTTTCCTCACGGATTGTCTGAGCCGTGTCAGTGGTTGATTTCCGCGGTCCAACGGCGAATAAGTCACTACAATTGTCGGCGTGTGTGTATCGATAGTGCAATACAGGAACGTAAAAATCAAATAATAGTACCAAAGCAGTGTGCAACGCAAGCGTCAGGCAGCGGTGTCGAGTACACCAGCCCTTCAGCTGCGCATCGTCACCAACGTATTACGCGACGATCGATGCTGCAGCTTCCAACCGGGCCGAAAATGGCGACAACGCGTCGATTGTTGGTTTGTGCCGTTCGACCACCCCCGTTTCTTGTGCTTGTTTGCCACCGTCAAGCCTTTCTTTTGCTCTAACATTGTCGTGCTTTTCGCTGTGATTTTCGCTTGCTTCAATACCCAATGCAACAATTCGACACGTTCAATGTTGGCCGTGTCAAGTGATCTTGCCTGGTTGTTTTTTTGTTGTTTTTTTGTTGTTTTTTGATTTGTTTTTTTGATTTTGTGTTCTTCTTCGCTCATGCGTTTGACCCTCCTTGTCAAGATGCACAGTTTTCACACAAGGGTTATTCTTGGGATGCTGCGCACAGAGTCGGAAGCATGCCAGCAATTACAACCCAATCACAAGCAACCCAGTGCGAGATAGGATTGGGTGGAGAATTCGCGCTCACTTTTCCTTTTGCTTGTTTTGGCCATCCGATCGGACTAGCAACAGTAAGCCAACGCAACGCGCGCATCGTCAAACCCGCCCTCAAAAAAGCAATTCACTCCGCTCTTCCGATGAAAGCGATCGCTGCCGCTTTACGCAAGTCGGCAACGAGCTGCTTCACCAAGCGACTCGAGTCTGTTGAGTCTGCGTGGGTGCAGAACGCACTGCACTCCTCGGCTGTCCTCGACTCCCTCTCTCTCTCTCTTTCTCCCTTTCTCTCTCACCACCCCTCTCAGGATCGAATGCATCCTGTTGCAGCAAGATCGTTAGCTAAAGCAGAACAAGTGACGGAGCGGAAGGAACAGCAGGGGGCCCGTACGATTGCCACTTCGCCCCAAAACACAAAAAAACAAAAAAAAAAAACAATCAAAAAAACAATCACAATCTCGCCTCGTTTCCCCAACTCCCCCCCCCGCGCGCGCGCTTCTATTGAAGACGCGAGTTGTCAAACAAGACTAATGGAGGCGATTCTAGACGCGGGCGCTGGGAGACAGGGCAGACAGGGCACTCGCTTGAATATTGCGGGGGGGTTTTGTTTGAGATCTGGGGGTCGGAAAAAGGCTCCGCTTCCAATTGCCACCAGTTTCAATCACACGCACACGCACCCGCACAGCTGGCATTTCAGCACCGTCCCGCTGCAAGGGGGGTGAGTGTTGTATAAACCCTGCAAGCTCACTCTGTAAAATCTCTCTCTCTCTCTCTCTCTCTCTCTCTCTCTCTGTGTCTGGGATTTGACCACAGAAAAATGATTCCAAAGGAGTTTGCCTTTGGGCTGCTTCTGCTGTTCTTGATGATTTATCACGTCCAGTTGGCACAGGCAGTCGATGCTTGCGGCACTGGCGGCGTGTGCGATTGCTCGGGAACGACCGTCATTTGCAATACTGAATCTCTCACAACCATTCCAAGCGGAATCCCAAGCAACACAACGCACCTGTAAGTATCACCGAAGCGTTGAACTTTGATTCAAAGCATTGACCTCCTGATTGGCGTACGGTCGATAGGTCCCTGCAAAGCAACCAGATCACCAGCATTTCTGTCAACGCATTCACAGGCCTGACTGCGCTGATTTGGCTGTAAGGCAGCAAAAAAGACATAAAGTCGCATCCACAACCAGCTCACTCGTTTCGTCTCCATCTGAAGGTATCTGACCGACAACCAGATCACCAGCATCTCTGCAAACGCATTCACAGGCCTATCTGCACTGACTTACTTGTAAGCTATCGATGACACGAAGAATCGCGCAACCCACTCACTCACTCATCCTCCACCCAGAGTACTCAAAGAAAACGAAATATCCAGCATTTCGGCAAATGCATTCACAGGCCTGTCTGCGCTGAAGGAAGTGTACGAAAGCAAAAGGCATGAAGAATCACCATAGCCTCACTCGTGTGCGTCTCGATTTGCAGGGATCTATCCAACAATCGAATCATCGACCTTCCGACCGCTGCATTCGCAGGCCTTCCTCAGATGTCTACCTTGTAAGCAAGCAAAGACAGAATGAATCACACGTCAACAGCTCACTTGTTTGCGCCTGCGGCTACAGGCGTCTATCACGCAACCAATTCAACAGCATTCCCTCCACCGCAATCACCACAGGCCTAACTGCGCTGAAGGAATTGTAAGCAAGAAAAGACTGCGAGGATGACGCAGAAAAACAGCTCACTCATTTCCAACTCAATCTGCAGATACTTGGACGCTAACAACATCTCCAGCATCTCCACAGCCGCATTCACAGGCTTCCCTGCACTGACTTATTTGTAGGCAAGCAAAGACGGGGAAGCCTCGCTGACAAACGACTCACTCGTTCGCGACTCCATCTGTAGATATTTGGCCGACAACCCGATCACCGACATTCCCGCAAACACATTCGCAGATTTGACTGAGCTGAGGCACTTGTGAGCAAGCATAGATAACAAGAATCGCACACCAACGGCTCACTCATTACAACTCAATCTGTAGATATCTGCGCAACAACCAGATCTCCAGTGTGTCCGCAACCGCGTTCGCAGGGCTCTCTGCGCTGAACTATTTGTAAGCAAGCAGAGACGGGAAGAGTCAAACGTAAAATGGCTCACCAACTCTATCTGTAGGGATCTATCCATGAACAAGATCAGCAGCCTTTCCGCCTCTGTATTCACAGGATTGACTGCGCTGTCTATCTTGTAAGCAAGCAAAGCCAAGAGAGAGCACACACACACACACACACACACACACACACACACACACACACACATAGCTCACTTGCTGGCAACTCTTTGTGTAGATATTTGCAAAGCAACCAGCTGAGCAGCATCCCCGCGTCGTCATTCACAGATCTGGCTGCGCTACAGCATTTGTAAGCAAGGACAAACATGAAGAAGCGCTGCGAAACGGCTCATTCGTTAGCAACTCTCCATGTAGGTACCTTTCCAGCAACCAGTTCACCAACCTTCCAGCCGCTGCATTCACCGGCCTGGATGCGCTGATCGTCTTGTAAGCAAGCAACGATAGGACGAATCGCACATATGGGCTCACTCGTCTTTGCGACTCGATCTGTAGATGGCTGTCCGGTAACCCACTCACCAGTGTTCCCACTTCTGCACTCACAAGCTTGTCTGCGCTGAGGAACTTGTAAGCAAGCAAAGATGGGAGGAATCACGCAGAGGTAGCTCACTCGTTTGCAACTCTATCCGCAGGGATCTATCCTCCACCAAGATAACCAGCATTTCGGCGAACGCATTTGCGGGTCTGAATGCGCTGACTGTCTTGTAAGCGAGCAAAGGCAAAACAACAATCATCCACAAACGGCTCACTCGTCGCCGACACTATCGTAGGGCTCTGCACTACAATCCAATCGCCAGTATTTCTGGCTCTGCATTCACAGGCCTGACTGCGCTGACTGCCTTGTAAGCAAGCCCCCTTATTGCGCGTGTTGAATGCACTTCTCATTTCAAGTTACTCTTAGGCATTTGAGTAACACTCCATTAACCACTTTGCCGCCTGGTCTGTTTCAAGGCTTGCCCAATGGTTTGCGCTTGTCGACCATATCTCCAGTGCTGAGCCCCAACAACTTTACCTTTGGTGGGAATACTATCGCTCCGCCCAGCACATACGGCAGTGCATCCGAACCATACCGTAAGTTGTCCGGGGTGATAAAATCTTCAAGTGATCCGTTCGCTGACTTGTGAATTGCAGAATGTGATACCGTCTGTGCTACTTGCTATGCTGTTGGGAACGGGTCGTGCTGCCCGATCGATTGTCTGCTCTGCACATCATCCGCTGCGTGCACTCAGTGCTATGACGGATATGGCGTGTTGAGTGGATCATGCGTTCCGCTTGCTTCCATCGCTTCTATCTCAGTCGCTTCCGTCGCGTCTGCCTCAATCGCTTCAGTCGCTTCTGCGGCAGTCGCGTCCGTCTCTTCAGCTTCAGTCGCATCCGGTGCGACTGCCTCGACCGCCTCTGCCTCGATTGCTTCTCGTCTTTCCGCCACCTCTGCCATGTCGGCATCCTTTGCTTCCCTCGCTACTGCGTCAATTGCATCACAAGCGTCTGCATCTGTTGCGTCCGATGTTTCCGCAACCTCTGCATCCTTTGCTTCCGTCGCCACGGCATCCTCGGCTTCAATTGCTTCTGTGTCTTCAGCGTCACTTGCCTCCGAGGTCTCCGCATCGCTTGCTTCCCTCGTTGCTGCGTCTTCAGCTTCAATTGCCTCTGAGGTGTCCGCGTCGTTTGCTTCTGATGCTTCCGCCATCTCGGCATCTGATGCTTCCGTCGCGACGGCATCTTCAGCTTCTATTGCAACCGCGGCGAGCGCGTCATCCGCATCTGTCGCGTCAGTTGCAAGCGCGTCATCCGCCTCTGTCGCTTCTGAAGTTTCCGCGACCTCGGCATCCTTTGCTTCCATCGCTGCAGAGTCGTCAGCCTCGGTTGCATCCCAGGCATCCGCATCAGCAGCCAGTGCTTCGTCTGCGTGGCAGACATCTGCTGCATCTGCTGCGTCCAATGCTCCGAAAGGCTCAAGTGACTCAGAGTCATGGCCGATCATTCTCGGAGTGATTCTTGGCCTGTTAGCTCTTATCTTGTTGGCTGCGCTGGCTGTGGCTCTTCGGCGTCGTCGCGCACCAAAATCATTGCCAGTCATCAGCACAGCCACCAAACCACGCGAATCTGTATCCGCCTCAGAACCGACTTACCAGTCTGCTGATTACCGCGGCACTGTGTCCAACGTTGTGAATCCAACCTATGAAGCTTTGTCTGCCGCTGGCAACCATGCCTTGTACGAGAATGTTGGCTCGACGCCCCAGGCTCCTCCAGTCGGTTTGTCGGAACAGGTGTATGCCGAAGCATCTGCGGTTGCGCCCAGTTCAATGCAAGCGTCAGGCAGCGGTGTCGAGTATGCGGATCCTTTGCTGCCTAACGCATCGTCTGTTCGTGTGCAGCCCGCTTCCACACCAACCACGTACTCGGCGATCACTGTTGTGCCATCCGAGCAGACGTACGAAACGGCGTCTGCTACTCCCGCTCAAGCCTTGTACGAGGATGTCGGCTCAAAGCCCCCAGCTTCCCCAGGCGCGTCGGAACTGCTCTATACCGAAGCGTCCACGACTGGATCCGGTGTCGAGTACGCCGATCCTTCGCTGCCCAATCCCTCGTCGGTTCGTCCGCCGCCAGAGTCAGCAGCAACCCCTTACGCGACAGTCGCAGTTGTACCTTCGACGCAGACCGAGAATAGCGACTACGCGTCGATCGCAAACTAGCAAACTGGCGCTGATGATTGGAACAGAGTTCGGAAGCCTTCATGCATCTCTTTTGCTCTGCCATTCTCATGCATTTCACTGTTTTGGTGTTACAAGGGTTGCAAAATGCTTTGTACTGAGTGGTGAGAAAGAGGTAGAGAGCGACGATGACAAAAATGACAAGAATTGACACCCCCCGACATATTGCAACAAGCGGCCATACACACAAAATATTCATAAATAAATTTAAAAAAAAAACAAGTGGCCATGTATACAGGCCTATGCAATCGACTCTGTAGCCAATGCAGTGCGATAGAGGATACCCTGAGGTAATTGCGGAGAAAGTGCTTCTTGCAAAGTGGCAGCAGCACGAGCACTACTGCCGCCACCGACAGAACTCCATCCATGATACACACGTGCAGCAGATAAGAGCGGTACCAAAGCAGCAGCCGTAGTGGCATCGTGGGCTACTACGAGGCTGACGTGATGCTTGAGCGTGTCGACCCACAAAAGCGCCTCGGCCTGAATGCGCTCGACGTCGCTCATCTTGGAAAGGGGATCGTCCTGCTCGGCGTGAACGGCGACTTGGCGTTTGGCAAGGTCAGCAGCCCAAATGGCGTCGACATTCGGAACGAGCGCATCTTCTCCATGCGGGAGGAGCGTGGTCATGATTCGCATCGAAGGTCTGTGCTCGCGAATGTGAGCAATGACTTCCCACCAGCGCGCTGGCATGTGATGCGCGTCGCCCTCGCGATAATCGATGCGAGTGACGACGTGCACAACACCGACCTTGAGGTGTTCGATGATGGATGCTATGGCTGATGGATTGACAGTCTCTGGGCCAAGGCAAATGACATCGAGAGCACAGTCGCCGTCGAGGGTGCTCGTGGCTTGGCTGCTTGCTTCCCAGTGGGCGACATTTTTGCCTTCCATGCTCGATGCATGGGTGCTGATGACAAAAACGTGGCGGAACATGCCAAACGGATTGATGGAAGCGGTAGCCTCCCCAAGGGGGATACCCAAGGCGAGAACGGCCAGAGACTGACGCTTGAGTCGGCCAGGCAGAGTCGGAGCCTGGATGGGCGCGTCCACCATGGAGGACTTGCTCAGATCGAGCTGCGCGCCAGCATTGAGCTCTTGTGTCCAGCGTAGCGGCCCGACCAGCCCGCAGCCGAAGGCGCACACATAGGTTTGCCGTTGTTGCAAATCCTTTGCCATAGCCTCGGTTTCCTTCATGTCCCCACGAAGGAACGGCTCGGCGGCGACCAGGTCAGGAATGTTCGAGGTGGCAATCGCCTTTGGAGATTGCGACCGAGCAGCAGCAGCCTCGGCTGCTTCGAGCACTGTGCGTGCTCGGCTCAGCTGGCGACTGTACGGAGAAGGGGACATCCTGCTCACTTCTTGTGTAATCTGCTCAAGAGCGGTGCGAGCCACTTCGACATGGCCCGCGTTCACGTCCAACACGGCAAGATTGATGGCGCATAACAATGCCAGGTTGCGTGAAGAGTGATCGAGAACCTGTTGTGGGCTGCTTTGACACCGCTCAAGGTGTCGTCTCCCCAAAGCCAGAAGCGTGGTATCCACTCCGCGTGCAAAGTACAAGATGTCTTGGGCGGCGCGGTAGTCGCTGATTTGAGCCGCTGCAGCGAGGTTGCTAGAGAATAGAGCCGCGGAGCTCAAGACGCCAGAATTGATCGCCTTGATGGCAGCGGGCTCCAACGTGGCTGCGCTTCCTGGAGTGTTGGCCGTCGCCTGGACAGGACCACCCCACGCTGCTGCCAGGGTGTCGCTAACGACAGCGGCATTGACGATTGCCTTCTGTCGCGTGCGGTGCCTGATGGGGTCGAGCTTGATTGTGGCACTCATGGAGAGAGGATGTCGGCGGTAGCGCACGAGAGGAACGGGGGCGTACACCCAGGGTCCGCAGTTGTGGCGCACCCGCAGCCAATAGTCCCAGTCTTCGGTGCCCATGAGACTCGTGTCGTATTTGCCAACTGCGTCTGCGCAGCGACGACGGTACATGAACGAGGCCATGCCATAGTTCCGGCTGATGATTTGAGCGTAACTCATTGTCAAGGTGCCGACCACCTGGCGAGACGTATCGACGCCGTTGGCGTCCATGTTGATAAAGTCTGCGTAGGCAAAGTCTGCCTCTTCGTGGGACTCTAGAGCACGACGAAGGGTGGCCACAAACAAGGGAAGCTGGATGTTGTCAGCGGAAATCCAGGTGAGCAACGTGCCACGCGCCGCATCAAAGCCAGCATTGAGCGCTCCAGGCAGCCCCGTGTTGGTTTGACGGATGATCTTCAAGGAAGGACTTGGTGCGTGATTCCCAGCTGACGATTGTCGAAGACGTTGGAGTTCGGCGTCTGCTTCGAGCTCGCGAAGATACTGGACGGTTGTCTGGTCTGTCGAGCCGTCGTCAACGACAATGAGCTCCAGCGGGCCTGCGTCAACCTGGTGCTTGAAGATGGATTCAACAGCCTCTTTCAAGTACGATTGTGCGCCATTGAACACGGGTAGTACGACGGACACGAGGTCGGGCTGGAGTGAGATGTGGGACGCGTGGTACGGGTGCTCAGTGCTGTCGTCTGCTGCTGCTCCTGTGAGCAAGAAGTAATCGTCGTGCTCTGGCTCGTGCTCGTGCTCGTGCGAGTGGTCCCCGTTTTGCAGTTTCAGGAGATCTTCGAGCCATTTGGGATGCTGGTGCACATGCTCACCAGTGTTGCCCAGGAACGCCTCCAAAGCCTCGTAAGTGTAAACCTGCATGACACCCTGCTGTAATGGCGCAGCAGCAGCCGCGGCCAGTTGCTCGTGCTTGTTGCGCTCCTCCAGGCGCCGCACCTGCTCCTCCACCAGCGCCTCTTCTGCGTCAGCCTCGGCGTCAAGAGCTGCCTGTGCTAGTTGCTCTGCTGCTCCCGCCGCTGCGTTGCTGTACAACGGCGCACGTATGTCAGCAGCATCACGCCTGCCAGGGTGATTCACCCCCATGGGAGCAGCGAGCTCCTCGTCCTCCTCCTGCAGAAAGCGGTCAATGTCTTCGACAGACTTCCGCCTGAGTCCCAGCGGCACCCCGGCGTCAGGCTCCTCCAGCGTTGCCCGTTGCGGAGGATGGACCTTGACCCCAGCGAGATGGCGTTGCTCACGCAAAAGCTCGTAATCCGCCCCTTCTCCCAGCGCGCCCATCCCGGGACCGCGCCACGCCACCAGCGTGTATGTCGAGAACATGACCATCATGCAGAGCGCAACAGCAACGACTGGAATCCGCCTGCGCAGCGAGAGCACTCGCCCAAGCCGCGCCAGCATTCGCATAGGGGAAAATGGGTAAAAAAAAAAAAAGCTGTTGTTAGTGTTTGAAAAAAAAAAACAAAAAAAAAACAGGTAACTATCAAAACGACTGACTGCAAATAATTAACGTCCACGATGAGGACAGGATAGAGCAGCAGAGCGAGAAGAAGGATTGTTTACAAGGCGTCATCATGAGAATCGTGAAGCAAGAAGCCAATCAAGTGCGTGTGAATCCAGTCGGCAAGATGGAGGAAACGCGCAAAGTGGAAATGTGTTAGATCCCGTTGCCAAAGTAGGTCAATGGATCTTGGCAGAGACAAAATGTGCGTCGAAACAACAAAAAAACAACGCCCCACGGAGACACAATTAAACAGCAGGTAAAACAACTTCGATCGCACGATGGCAGTTGAAAAGCGAGCAGTTGAAAATCGGCCTTTTTCCCCCAGTGGAAACAAGTGCAACCAACAAGCAAACAAAACAAAGCGATGAATCATAAACGATTGCATGTGTTGATTTTGCAATGATGGATGCGTTTATCACATTACCACGCAGGTGTTACCTTGACTCTTGCCACGGCGATTTGGCACTCCAATCGCCGCTCGGGCTCGGTCGCTCCACGCGCAAGGAACGAGAGTACCTGTTTTCATTCGAGGAACCTCCACAGCATTGCTCGTGACGAGATGGAGACTTGGGCAAGCGTCGAACGACGTAAGCGAATTTTTTTGTTGGTTTTTTCGCACCAAAGCTCCTCCCGGTGGAACTCGTCAGAGCTTGGTTGCTTCACAAGCCACGGCGCTCGTTTGCGTTGATTGCATTGGTCACGACCAACTCGGGCAGTTACAGCCGAGACTGGAGCCAATGAAGCTTCGCTTGAATGGGAGGGGTGGCTGTGGGAGAAAATTACACCATCACAACAGCGGTGTTGTTGTTGTTCTTTGGTTTCATTCGCAATTTTCCATTTGAAATTTTAGCATCACTCATCCAAAGCACTGTTAAAGAAAGCTGCCGCTTTCATGACGAAAAAAGAGGGGGTCGCAACAATGAGTCAAGAACAGAAAAATCTTTTATCGATTTTTTAACAAAAACGAGCACAGCTGACAAACGATCATTCACACCAACACTCAAAGCTGCTCCAGCTTTTCTTTCAATCTTGAAGAGACGGCATTTGACACTCGGACTTTCCAGCAGGCAAGGACCAACAGCTTGTTTTCGCGTAACATAGAAAACCAAAAACACTCAAAAAAAGGGGGCTTTTGGCTTTGTTTCAAGTCATCCAAGTCCGCCAGCGGACACGGCGCACAAGCTCGAGAGATGTTGAATACGGAGTGAAGGATGACCGTCGCTCCGTGGAAAGTGGGTTGCAAAACCAACAAGGAAAAGAAGAAGAAGGAAAAAAAAAAAAACAGGCAGTTTCAAGACCAATCAATGGGAATGGTCGCAGACAGCAGAAACAAAAAAATGAATAACTAGACACAAAAGGTAAGGAGAGAAGGGGGGCAGGTGGAAGTGAACGCTAAGGCCGGTATCAGTAGCGGGCGACCGAATCAATCAGCTCGAGCCGTTACGATAGAGCGGACGGGAGGACGAAGGACTTTATGCACGGATGGCGAAAACACCAGCCACTGCAGCAATCAGAGGCATGAGGGCGAAGGTCGCGAACGTTGAGGCGGCGCTGCCGTCCAAGTTTTGGGCGATGGGGTTGGTGTTAAAGTTGTCAGTGCTAATGCCGCCGGCAAGGAGATCCTTGGGGTAGGCGGTGGTGTTCTTGGAGCCAAGCATGGCGCACCACATGGCAGCGTTGGCAACAGCGTCGTTCTGGTTGTCGGTGCGCTTGATGTTCGAGGTGCGGATGCGGTAGAAGAAGGTAAAGTCGGTCTCGTCGGAAGTCGTGTACACAAAGAAGCTCAGCGTGTTGTCGTCGGGCGAGTCAAAGCAAGTGCTGACGCGGTTGACGCCGCATTGGGTGGGAACGACGTTGGTAGTGGCGAGGAAGGAGTCGCTGTCCGAGATGCTGTTGTTGTTTGTGAAAAAGAGTGGGACAAAAAAAAAGTCAGCAAAAAAAGTCCAATGCAGACCAAAGCAGCGGTACTTTCAGAGCAATTGCTCCCGCGGCGCGTCTCTCAGCGCCATAAATCACCAGTCGCTTCTGTGAGTTGCCATGAGGAGCGGCAGGCGGAATGGGGGCAACAGGAGAAGCGAGGGTGCAAAAAGTCGTCTTCCAATGGTTTTCCATACAATTCAACTTCCCACGGCTCATAATAATAATAATAAAGAAACCGCGAAAAACAAAAATAAAAAAATACTACAAAAGTTCAAAAAAAAAAAAAAAAAAGGCTGCCTTTCTCGGGTTTGTGGGTTTTTTTGTTTTAAAAAAAATGAAAAAGTGGGGTTTTTTGTTTCTATCGAGCTGCTCGTTGCCCTGCTGGGTGCGAAGCAAGTTGGCAAGTATCACAAGCCAGAGCACAAGAACCGCCTGAGGCTGGGTCGCGAGTGAAGAAGAAGAAGAAGAAGAAGAAGAAGAGACAAAGAACGAGTTATTAAAAAAATCTTGTTGTTTTGTTTTTGTTTTTTTTTTTTTGCTTTTTTTTTTTACTTTCGAGCGAGCTGCGCTTTGTCTTCAGTGTCCCGCGCCCTGCGCCCAGGTGCACTCGAAAGCAGAGACGACGGGCTTTCCGAGCATGTGAGGCGCACGACCGCACGACGTCGCGCTCACAGAGAAAAAGAACCGGAAAAAAAAAAGACACGCGTTTGTTTCCCATGTTTTCAAAAAAATCCGCAATTTTTTTAACCACTAGACGATTTGTTTGCGTTATATCGTGCTTGCTTTACGAAGCAGCTAACGAACGAGGCCAGCTTTTTCTTGCAGAGCGAACATGGTTTGTTTTTTTGGTTTTTTTTTTTTTTTTGGTTTGTTTTTCCTTCTTCTTCTTTGCTTCTCCTTCTGCTTCAATAGAGCGCGGTGCACGTACCAAGCAGTGGCGCCGTTGGTGAAGGTCTCGATGGCAATCTCAATCATCTTGCCCTGGACACCCGCAAAGTTGATGCAGACGTTCTCGCCCATCATGTAAGTCGCAACGTCGTAGCCGAGCGGGTGCGCGCCGGGGGTCACCGAGTACGTCCATGAGTAGTCGGCCTCGTCGACCTCAGTGTAAGTGATGGTCCGTCCGCAGGTGACGGCGAAGGCACTGTTGCCAAGAAGAGCGACGAGCGCAAGAGTAGCGAGAATGGCCTTCATTTGAGAGCACAAGCAGAAAAAAAACCAACAAAACAAAAAAAGGGACTGGAAAAAAAATTGGCTTCAAAATGGCTTCTTTCACGTTCTCTTTCGTTCTGCTTGAGGTCAACGTTCGGATGCTTTGGGGAGAAGCCCGGGAGGGTCTGTAATGCTGGGTTTTCAAGTCGTGAATGAAACGAGATACGACAGGGCAGCGATCTCGCCGAAAGCTGCTGTCCTGTATTCGGGTCATGGTCCAAACTCATCAATGCTTTAGTATACACACATGAATCAAGTACAACAGCAATGGTTGAATAAGCACCAACACAGCGAGCTGCCGCCCGCTACCTCGTTTCTTCTGTAATGTCCCAAAAGTACAAATATTCAACTCGCATCCACTAAGCAAGGGTCATCGGCGAGCAGCATTGCCGGGCAATTGCGCCGCAATCTCGCACACTTCGTCAAAATTAAGAGTCGCCATGAACGGCTCGGACGGCAGCTTGACCTTGACTCGCTGACGCGACGAATCGCGGTCGTGAAGCAGACCAATCCGGCCCCGCTCGGTGCCGCTAAGAATCAGTACTTTGGCACCAATCTCGCGCGGAACGACAGATTCTAGGTCGCGCTCCCGCAAGTCGGTCAGCGTGCGGTCGTCCTCGGTTTTGCAGATAAAGCGGTCGAGACGTTCTCGGTCGATTTCAGTCAAGACAACCTTCACTCCGTCGTACTTGCCATCCTTGTAGCTTCTGCTCACAACACGCACGCGAAGGTTTTCTGCCAGCCACGACGTTTTAAAAGCAAAGGGGGCGAAAGGAAGCGGAGGTCGAGCAGGAGGCATCGCAGCCGGACGGCTTGATGCTGCAGCAGGGATGGACACCGTCTCAATCGGGCGTACGGCTTCGGCCAGGTTGGCGTCGGTTGCGGAATCAGAACGCGGGGGTGCAGAGCCGTCACGCTTGGTCAAGCCAGGCAAGAAGACGACTTGTTTTTTTGGCGGAGCTGGGACGGCTGGTGCTGTGCTGCTTGCTGCTGCTGCTGCTGCTGCGTTTTTGGCCTGCTGTGCTTGTTGTTGCTTGGCGGCAGATTTTGCCGATGTAGGTGGCGGCTCGTTGTTAGCGAGCGCTTCTGATTTGGGTTTGGCACCGAGGCCGAGCCGATTGGCGCGTGGCACGGCGTCCTTTAGCTGGTTCCGCGCAGAGATCATGTCCTTGTCAGAAACACCCATGCCACGCAGCATGGCCATGCCGAAAGCCTCCACAGGCACGGCATTGTAGTTAATGTCGTCTGGCCGCAGCGAAACGTCGAGTCGAAACACGTCCGCCTCGCTCGAGAGGTTTTCTGCCCCAGGAATGCGATTCTGCATCATCAATGGGATGGTCTTTTGCTCGACATTGCCTGCTGTGATGGCAGCGCTGTCTTGCAAAAGCTCGCTCAAGGCGGTTTGGGCGAGCGCGGCCGCTTCCTCCTCCGCGGTCAACGTCCCATTCGCACCCGCAGCTGCGTTTGTTGGTGTACCTCTTGATGATGCTTGCATTTCGCCGTTGGATGTGGAGACATCCATTGCAGTGGCAGCACCGGTGGTACCAGTGGTACTTGAAGCAGCGTCCTCGTTGGTGCCAGGCTGGGACTCGAGTGCAACGCCCCACCGGTTGTTCTTGATGAGCGGGATGACGATGTGGGATGCCTTCAATGCTGCTGCGGCTGCTTCTGCGGCCTCCTCGGCGGCAGACTTGACTTGAATCGCGCTCAAGAAGCGCGTCGTAATCGCGCCGTCGCTGCTCGGGCCGTGCGCATCGTCCTCGTGGAAGGCAGCGGCCACACTTCGACTACCGCTACTACTGCTGCCATTTGTACCAGCACTACCAGCATGGTCGTCCAGGCGAACGCGCTTGCGTGGATCGCCGTCTGAATCATCGGCGGCTCTTCGGTGGAAGGATGCTGCTCCATTCCCGCCAGCACCAGCACCAGCTCCAGCTCCAGCTCCAGTAGTAGCAGATCCAGCACCCGCAGCGCCAGCAGCAGACAGATTGAGCTGGATGGCGAACGGCGCGATCGTAAATCCAGGTGTCGCTGAATCCGACATTCTCGCGTTGAATTCTATTGAATCGGAAAAATCAGACTGGATGTCATTCATATTCAGCGGACATGTTCATCGAGCTTGGGAGGAGGCGGGTGGTGGGGATATGAGGATGAGATTGGAGCGGATGCCCCAGCTGGTGTTGCTGCACAGTAGAAATCCGGTGTAGATCTAGTGTAGTGTTTACATGCTACTACACAGTGCAGGTACAAAAACGCTATTACCCACTCTGATCTCTCGTTCTATCTGATCGTTTATTCCTACAGCAGTAGGAGCATTGAGCTGTCCCCCTTTGTTTGTTTTTTGATCTGATTGTGTTTTCCACCATAAAAGTGCTCAGCTCTTGCGTTACATGCTTCCGACATCCAAAACGACATCTTTTGCGACTTGTATGCTCAGTCACTGAGCTTTCAAGTTAGTGCTTGCTTGTCGACGTCACTTCCGCCTGTTTTTATTTTTCCCCACTTCTTTTTTTTTTTTTCTTCCGTGTTGGAATGGCGACAAACGCTGCTGCTGCTGCTGCACCGTTGGATGAGCACAACGCAGAACAACAGCAAGAGCAACAAGCAGCAAACGAACAAGCAGTCAAAGAACAAGTCAAAGAAGAACAAGTCAAAGAAGAACAAGAAGAAGAAGAAGGCAAAGAAGAAGGCAAAGAAGAACGGAGACAAAACGCTGAATTTCCCGCCAAAGCCAAAGACGAAGAAGAATCGGCAGCCACAACCGAGTCGTCGTCCAAGTCGTCGTCCAAGTCGTCCACCACGCTGTTGCATGATACTGGCACTAGTGCAGTGCCATCGTCGTCGCAGACAGTCAGCAAGGCTGCCGCAGTCGATGTGGTGTCGGCGCGCGTGCTCGTGTCGGGCCATCTGAAGTGCTCGCTGCTGGTCAACGGCCCGCTTGTGCCTGCCGTCGTCGCAGCCGCTGCCGAGGTCGAGAAGCTGCAACAGCAGCAGCAGCAGCAGCAGCAGCTGGATGGAGCAGCTGCAACCAGGCCGCGGTCAAAGACAAGGACGACTCCAGCGCTGGCGTCGCTCGCGGCATTGGCAATGAGCCAAGCCGCAAGTACGACCTCCAACACAGCCTCAGCCGAGGACGAGGGTGCTAGCCAGAGTCAAGCAACGGAGGACCAGCCACTGGCATCAAGTGGCAACAATGCCAAGTCTGCTGCTGCACTGCTCCAGTCGACAGAGATGACTGCCCGGCATCTGCTGTACGGGGCGATGGGCGTGGTACTCACCCCGCTCGCCAAGCCAGACCAAGTTCGAGGTAATTTTTGTCGCACATCGTTCAGACACTGCACACACTTGTCATTCGTATCATGGTGGAACAACACGCCGGCGTTCGAGAGACAGAAGCGGGGTGTGGATTTGCATTGTCTCATCTTCTCGCTCACACAAATCAATTTGGCCTTTCTGGTGCTTGATTGCTTTTTTTTTCTTTTTCTTTTTGCTTGTAATGTACCAGTCTACCCTGTGAATCGGATTCTCGCAGTCGAGTGGGCATCCCCAGTCGAGCAACTGTTTTTTGAACAGCCAGATAGATTGACAGCGACGCCAGCAACAGAGCCCGTCTCAACCAGCGAACCACTTGCTACTGCTCCAGCTGCAACTGCTTCAACGACACTGTCAGCCCCGTTGGATATTCCTCCCAATTCCGCGCCAAGCAGCAGCAGCAACAACAACAACAACAGCAACAACAGCACCAGCACATCTCGCTTTGACTATCCGTTCACAGTCCCAAAGCCATCCAACATGCCGCCGCCGTCGACAGAAACCTCCCTCACACTCCACCTTGTGGATAGTACCTCGCACAAGCGTCGATGGGTGAAGCGCACCCTTCTGCTGAGCTTTGAATCCGTTGCCCACGCCACCGTGGTCTACGAAATGCTGGTAGCCATGCTGGTCACCCAGGCGCAACGCCCAACCCGTTTGATTGCGATTGTCAACCCTGTGGGTGGTCGGAAGCAGGCTCGCATGGTCATGGCGTCGGTCGTGCAGCCATTGCTCGAGCTTGTCCAGATCCCGTGCCAAGCGCTCGAGACCCAGGCAGCTGGGCAGGCAAAGGACCTCGCCCAAGGACTGGACTTGAATGCTCTCAGTGGCATTCTCTGTGTCGGAGGCGATGGCACCGTGTCGGATGTGGTCCACGGCCTGCTGGCCAACCCGTCCTGGAACCCGTCGCGCCCCACGCCCGTCGGACTCATTCCGGCCGGCTCAACAGACACCATCATGTACTCGACCATTGGTTGCAACGACCGAGTCACCGCCGTGCTGCAAGTGATTCTGGGCGAGACTCTCGGCATGGATGTGGCGAGCGTTCGGCAGCAGGGATCGGTTCAACGGTACGCCCTCTCGTTTCTTGGATTTGGCTTTTACGGCGATGTCATCAAGCGCAGCGAGTCGATGCGCTTGTTTGGACCCATGCGGTACGACATTGCCGGCTTTAGCGCCTTTCTTGGCATGACGTCGTACAGCGGCAAGATACACTTTTTACCAGCCTCGCGTGCAGAGTCCGCATCGTATGTGTACCACGCCAGCTCCATGCCCCCGTCTGATGTGGCTCATGTCGACTCGTTTAGCATGAGCACCGACGGTGGACTGGGTGTTGCCTCTGATCGTGGTCGAAGTGTCAGCGAACTCAGCACTGCTCAGGTTGGCAATCAATCTTCGCTGCCAGAACTGGCCATTGCCCGGACAATTCCTCGCACCCGCAGCGCAGGTAGCGTGGACGATGTAAATTCGGACGACTTTGTCCTCTTGGACCAAGACGATTTGCAGGCGATGGATGCACCGAGCGCCGCTTGTTTGGATGAAGCTGCCTCGTCGGCAGCATCTGCCGCCACTCCAGCCAGCAGCTTGACGCCATTCACGACACAGCAACGCGCGCGAGCCGAATCCTCGGCGTCATTCGCCCCTGCTCTGCCTTCCGCCGCGCAGGCAGGTTCGCAACATTCTGCTGCTCGCAACCCAAAGAAGAAGCGGGGCAATACGGCCATCTCGTCGCCTCAAACATCATCCGCCATGGCGTGCACGGCCGATTGCAGTGTGTGTGCAGCGCCGTCCGCGCACGCGTATTTCAAACGCGTCGGCAGCGGCACCGAAGACGGCACCGCGGCCTCGCCCCACATTCTCACACCCAGCCCATCCGTTGGCCTTGACAGTGCAAACCTCTTTCCATACACTGGAGCAGGCTCGGGTTGGGAGACAGTTGCTGGTGACTTTGTGTGCGTGAATGCAGCCAACATTTCGTGCATGTGCGAGAAGGCGCCTCGCGGTATTTCTCCCAACGCCCATCTGGCGGACGGCTGTGTTGATTTGATTCTCATCCGAAAGTGTTCGCGCTTTAGCTATCTGCGACATCTCATCCGTCTTGGGTCGGGTGCGCATGGCGGAACCACCTATTTTGATGCCTCCGGACCCGCTCCTTCTCTACAAGCTTCCGGTGTGGCTGCTGGTTCACCATCTGCCTCGTCGTCTTCAGTCTCTGACACTGCTTCCTCGTCGTTGTCCTCTGGGAGCTCCAATTTGGCAACGTCGGCCTCCTCGATCCTGTCGTCGATTCGTTCGGCATTCGGGTCGCTTCGAGTGTCGCGAACCAGCTCGTCAAAGCTCCCAGAAGTCGCGGTTACTCCTGATGGTGAACTGTCTGCATCGGCTCCTGCCTTGAATGCAGCTGATCAAGGACTTTCCGGCTCGTTGACAACCGCCATTTCGGAAACGCTTCCAGCAACTTGTGCTCCAATGCCGGACACGCTGCTTGGTGACACTTCTGCAACGAGTGCCGATGGGCTGCTTGCTGATGCACCTTCTGCGTCGTCGATGCCTGCTTTTGTTTCGGAAGCAGCCTTGTCTGCCACTGTCGTGGACTCGGCGCGATTGGTAACGACAGACGCCCCGGCTCCAGCGAGGTCCTCATCGTCGTCCTCGCTCATTTCAACCGCGGCCAAGCTGCCACGGGAAGCGCTCATCCACCAGCGAGCCGTTAGTGCGAGCCATCTCGACTTGGATTTTGTTTCTTCCGTCAAAGTCGCCGAATTCATCTTTGAGCCAGACACATCCGCGCCCACCTCACCACAGCCGCCGACAGCTGACAAGACGAACATTGGCGAGTCTCTTGAAGCGTCTGCTGCTGCAGCAGCTGAGCTTCGTAAAAAGGCGTCCAAGCCGACCGGCTGCTGGAACATTGATGGCGAATTGCTGGATGGCCGGCTGCCGGTGCATGTGAAGGTGCATCGCAAGATGATTCTTCTCTTTGGGCAAAAGCTTCATCTTTGAAAATGCACTGGTTGTTTGGCTTGGTCTTTGACAATGTACTGCATTGGCCAGTACTGCTTGTTTGGCTTGGGCTCTGAAGAAGGTGTTCAAGAACAAACTGCTTGTTTTTGAACTCATTTGTGAAAATATGCTCCTTTTTTGTGTTTCACCCAATCGAATTCACTGTTTTGTGCGTTGTGCTGTTTAAAAAAGACGGTTAATCGCTTCTATTTTGCATTCGCTATTGTATTTGAATTTTTGTTATTTTTTTTTTTTTTTTCGGAGGGGGGTTTGTATTAGTTTTACTCCTGCGGGAGCAAACTGCTGTTAAATTGTTGTTGTGGTATTTTTAAGCACTTCAAGGTCGCTTTTGCTTGAAGTGGGGTCATTGCTTGAAGGTTCCTCGGCTTCGTGTTTGACTTGCGAAACACATAAAACGCCAAAGCTGGTCAACTACGATGTCATCAACGTCAAGCTTTCTCAACGTCAATCTCAGAGGCTTGGCTTGCGTCATCAAGTCGGACTTTGCCTGCGCATTTCGGTCTCGCCTCGTTCCGGCCACCGCGAGCAAGCTGCAAAAGGGTAGACAGAGGGTTTGTGAACTCGAGGAGGTGTGCGGGGAGGTGGGGGTGAAGAGGTCAGGCTGTGCTTCAAAGGCTCCGAAAAAGAACGTCTTGCGGGAAGCTTGCCCCCACATGATGCACATTGCTTATCGCCGTTGCGTCCAGCCCCGGCAGCACACTTGCAGCTCGCTGAACTGGAGTGTGGTTCAAGGTTCCCAGAGTGTTGCAGGTTCAATTGGAAAAGGCGGCAGTCATGCAAGGTGATCGCTGTCATGAAAACAGGCATTGAACGAATTCAAAAACACATAACAATAATAAAACACTGTTCGCTATTCAAAAAACAGAGTACAACCCACAGCCAAAGCGTCGCGCAGCGACATCATGCATGCTTGGCTGTGCGTGCGGGTGCACGAGTTAGGGTGAGCGATCGTTTGCCATGACGGCCGAGTGAGCGAAGCGATGTATCGCTAAATAGATAGCGCTTTCTGGAGCGTTCGAGTTGGTTCGAATTAGCCCTGCATATCTGCAGCAATGCGCTTCTGTTGAAACTGCTCCAAGTGGTAAGCGGCCAGATCTCGCCGTGACTGAGATTGGTTTGGAAGGACGAGGCAGAAAAAAATGCGTGTCTTGTGCCGAAGCACCTTGAGAAGTTCTTGAACGACGTAGTCTTGAAATAATCGGGTGGCATTTGGGTCGGGAATCTCGGCTGGTGCCTCGATTGGAACACCCCTCAGGAAAGCCAGAGCAAAGCTCAGGTCGTCAGTAGCATCTGCGGAAACTGTGCCGAGAGTGACCTTCAAAAGCTTCGCGATCACCGAGTCCACGGTGCGAATCTTTACGACATGAGGCATTGCTGGAAACAAAGAGGACTGCAGTTGTCCAAATGTAGCACAACCCTCTCCATCCCCCCCCCCACATCATGCTCTCGTTTATTGAAAAGGTGCAGGCAACTATCCAAAAGCGAAAGCACACAAAAAGACAGAAAAGTCACAATACGAGCGAAAACGACGACAAAGCACGAAACAAAGAGGCCGCCCAAGAGATTTCCAAAGGGAACGAACGATTCGACTGCATGCTGGCCAAACTTGCTCGGCTTGGGAACGTGTTTGGTCCGAATTATTTGCTTGAGAGTGAACTCGTGGTTATTGCATCAAGACTGTGATTGAAAAGAAAGCCGAAACTGCAATTGGAGATCCCGAGTCGCGGCAGACATCCGACAATGCAAAAAAAAAAGGCGATGAAAAGTGATGACTTGACTTGCCGCCCTTTTTGCTCATGCCCATGTTGTTCAAGGTTGTAGAAGTAGGAGTATCCAGCAATGGTTCACGCGCGTGTTCATGGTAGCACGATTTAGGCGACACAGAAGTTCCTGTGGGACCAAAAACGGAAAACCAAAAAGAACGCAAGTAAGAGGAGGGAAGCAGAACTGGGGGAACCGACTTGCCTGTGCTCCGTACGTTGTGTGCCTGCTTCCAACAAAGCATGACTTCAAGCGTGTGCTTGTGTTCTACTGTAGTGGGAGTGATGTATGGCGCGACAAGTGGCACAGCTCCTGGAGGAATAAACGGGCAAAAAACACTGAGCGGCAAAAACAAAAAAAGCTGAGCCGGTCGACTTAAGAACCAATGCCAGCAAGCAAACGTGCTCGACGCCCTCATTGCGCAGTATGCAACACGAGAACATTCAGGTGCTATTCTTCGAGAACGCACGCGTGAAGCAGAGCCGAGTCGAGCAGCTCCCAACGGATGTTGAACATCGGTCGACAAAAAAAATAGAGTGAGTGAAAATTGATGACTCACGAGCAAGATGTGTGTTCGGCGTCGTATTCGTGACGTTTGGTTTGCAAGTTGCGTTCTTCTTGTTCCTTTGGGGAGATTAAACGGTGATTTTGGTTGGGGACGGCTCTGTTATTAACAAACGTTCTCTCTTCATTTTCTTGGCTTTCCTGCAAACAATGATTCGAACAATAATTCGTTCACTATTTGCTGCGTTGCTGTTTGTCATAAAATCAAAAGCAAAACAACGTGGTCATCGTATTATCATCGGATTGGGAAAAATAAAACAGTTGGAAGTGCACCAGCATGTGCGGAGAGGTCCAGCACAAACAAACTCAGCATAAACAAATTCAGCACAAACAAATTCACTTCGAACAGCAGCAAGTGAACCACGTCATAGGGAAATTGCCCTTGTGAAGCAGGTACAGCTTGATGGCAATGAAGCCGAAGTTGACGGCAAATGTAATGCCCCAAATCGATGCGTTGTCCGGTAGCTTTTCTGACCACACGACCGCAGTGACCACGACAAGGCTTATCATGCTGATGCCTACAGCCACCAATCCATGCAAGGGACGAATCGCTGGAACTGTGCTGCCGGTGCCAGCGGCGCTCAACTCGTTGCATCGGTGTATGTTCACGATCGCTTGCACAGATGTAAAAAACCATGCCACTGCGGTTGCTGAGACGGTAATTTCGCGGTTTGGTAGCTTGCCGCCAACTTTTTCCACGAGGGCAGCCGATCCAAGGAAGATTATGATGTCAGTAACCAGAAGGAGCGTCACAACCTTCTTGGGGAACTCTTCAGCAGCCTCTCGGAGATTCTGGGCGAGGTATGCTCCCAATCTCTCACGAAGAAAAGTGGTTTGCTGATCTACGTGTTCAAAGTTTGCAGTGCCAGTCAGTCAAGCTGGTGACACTGTGTGCGCATTCCGAAAATCCGACTTACTCAGCTCGGCATCTTGGTCCCCCTGCGGCCTTTCCACAATCCCACTTTTAAAAATGAAGAGTAGATACACAAGGAAAGCAGACATAAGTCCTCCAGCAAGACCCATTCCACGATATTTGTCGTCCTGATACGCAAAGTAGGCCAGCGGGAAAACTGTCATAACGACGAATGTAGCGCCAAGCCAGAGTCGCTTGACTTGACAATTTGCTGCAAAGATCATTCGCGACCAAGTACCCTCGGCAAAACGAATGTAGCTCCATACACCCACAAACCCAAACCAGTAGAAATGAGTTGCGCCAGCGGCCGTCTGCATTTCGCTGTAGAAGACAAGTAGCGCAAAAGTGGCCAGGAAAATGGTCAACGCTCCAGAAAACCATCCAATTTCCCCTTCGTAGACAGAATGCAGGCAAAACAGCTCGGACACAGCGGCTGCAGTAAAGGCTGATGTAAGGCAGATCAAGGTGCTGTCAGTGGTAAGCCGATCAAATTGGTCATCGGCCTGCTGAAAAAGAGCGGCAGCAACGTCCTCTTCCCGATCTGGCAGAATGAGAGGAAAACTGTGGGCTTAGCGAGTGGACCAGAACATGTCAATGCAGTGCTTGCGCTTACTAAAAAGGGCGGAATCCATTTTGGGAAGGTCAACTATCGTGGAGTAACCCCCGTGGACATTGGCATTGGGGACGCCGAGGACGCCGGGGCCGCCGGGAACGATGAGGGTCGTCCCACCGCCGACAGTAGCGGCTGGAGAGTTGTTTTGGATCGTTCCGCCCTACCGACCAAAAAAAATAACAATAAAAAATCAGAATGAGATCACCAGCCGCCAGTTCTATCGACTTGTTTGGCACAACCACTGGGGTGATTAGAAAGTAGTAGCTGAGCTCGCTTCGGGGTCATTTAAATCCACACGCCCGTTTTTTTTTTTCCTTTGTTTTTTGGCTATGCTGTGTATGATGACATCACTTTGCGAAAAATCGAGTGCTTGTGCGAGATGATGCGGCGTGTGTAGGTGTTTGTGTACATGTGTGTATGTGTGTGTCTGTGTGTGTCTGCGTGTGTGTGGTGCGGTGTGTGCGGTGGCATTGGAAAGTTGTACGATGCAAAACGGTTGAGAAAAACGGTTGAGAAAAACGGTTGAGAAAAAAATAGAGCAGACAAGTACCCACAGGAGCACAGCTCCCAAAGGGGGCTGTTTCTCGTCTCCGTGGATCAAAGTCGAATCAGATGATGAGGATGAGCGAATAAGCGAGAGGAAGCGGAATGGAGCGTGAAAGAGAGAGAGAGAGAGAGAGAGAGAGAGAGAGCGAGAGAAAAAAAGAAAAACAGATAGAGCCAAGATTTAAAATTACGAGAAGCGGAGAACTCGGCGTGGAACTGCTTGAGCTCGACATCGGCAAATTGAGGAAAGTAAAGAGTGCCCTTTGTATTTCCAAATTGAATGTCGATACGTTCACAAGCCAACACCAAAATACAGCCATCAGTGCATCCCGATCGCTTGGAGCATGGTTTTCGGAGTTCTGCCGTTGCGTCCTTGCGGCGTTTTCAAAACTTTCAGAGTGTTTTGCAGAACTGGAGAAAGCGATAGCCATGAACACAGTCAATGAAAAAAGCGAACAAAAAACAAAAAACAAATTCAATCAGCCAAGTTGTGAGCAACCATGCAAGCTTGGCTGTGTGTGCGAATGCGCAAGCAAGGGTATGCTTTTGGAGAGTGCTTCTCTAACAAGAGCGCTCGTCAGCTGCAATGCGCTTCTGTTGAAACCTTTCCAAGGAGCAAGCGGCCAGATCTCGCCTTATCTGGTAGGGATTTGAAAGTACAAAGCAGAGAAATTGCGTCTTGTGCCGAAGCACCTTGAGAAGTTCTTGAACAACATAATCCTGGAACAATCTAGTTGTATTGGGGTCTGGTATCTCGTCTGATACTTCAATTTCAAAGCCATTCAGGTAAGCGAGAGCTTCGTTCAAGTCGTGTCTAGCGGCGTCGGAAACTGTGCCGCGAGTGACTTCCATTAGCTTCGCGATCACCGAGCTAACGGAGCGAATCATAATAACTTTTGGCAACATTGCTGAAAAACAAAACTACAAAAACTCTCGGCGCTCCAAATTTAGCGACCATTTTCTGCTTCCGCGCTTCCCGTGTCAGGGTTGGCTCTGATTTATTGACAATGTGCAAGCGACAGGCCAAAAACGAAAGCACACAAAGAGCAAGCAAGCGAAAAATGTAAGGATTAGCCTTGCATATCTGCGGCAATGCGCTTCTGTTGAAACTGCTCCAAGTGGTCAGCGGCCAGATCTCGCCTTGACTGAGATTGGTTTGGAAGGACGAGGCAGAGAAAAATGCGTGTCTTGTGCCGAAGCACCTTGAGAAGTTCTTGAACCACATAATCTTGGAACAATCTAGTGGCATTTGGGTCGGGAATCTCGGCTGGTGCCTCGATTGGAACACCCCTCAGGAAAGCCAGAGCAAAGCTCAGGTCGTCAGTAGCATCTGCGGAAACTGTGCCGAGAGTGACCTTCAATAGCTTCGCGATCACCGAGTCCACGGTGCGAATCTTTACGACATGAAGCATTGCTGAAAAAACAAGACTACAAAAACTCTCGGCGCTCCAAATTTAGCGACCCATTCTGCTTCAGTGCTTCCCGTGTCACGTTTGGCTCTGATTTATTGACAATGTGCAAGCGACAGGCCAAAAAGCGAAAGCACACAAAGAGCAAGCAAGCGAGAAAAAAACCCAAAAAAATAACATTAGTCCTGCATATCTGCTGCAATTCGCTTCCGTTGAAACTGCTCCAAGTAGTAAGCGGCCAGATCCCGCCGTGACTGATCTGGGTTTGGAAGGACGAGGCAGAGAAAAATGCGTGTCTTGTGCCGAAGCACCTTGAGAAGTTCTTGAACCACATAATCTTGGAACAATCTAGTGGCATTTGGGTCGGGAATCTCGGCTGGTGCCTCGATTGGAACACCCCACAGGAAAGCCAGAGCAAAGCTCAGGTCGTCAGTAGCATCTGCGGAAACTGTGCCGCAAGTGACCTCCATTAGCTTCCCGATCACCGAGGCCACGGTGCGCATCTTTAAATATTGAGGCATTGCTGAAAAACAAGACTACAAAACTCTCGGCGCTCCAAATTTAGCGACCATTTTCTGCTTCCTTCCCGTGTCAGGTTTGGCTCTGATTTATTGACAATGCAAGCGACAGGCCAAAAACGAAAGCACACAAAGAGCAAGCAAGCGAAAAATGTAAGGATTAGCCTTGCATATCTGCGGCAATGCGCTTCTGTTGAAACTGCTCCAAGTGGTAAGCGGCCAGATCCCGCCGTGACTGAGATTGGTTTGGAAGGACGAGGCAGAAAAAAATGCGTGTCTTGTGCCGAAGCACCTTGAGAAGTTCTTGAACAACATAATCCTGGAACAATCTAGTGGCATTTGGGTCGGGAATCTCGGCTGGTGCCTCGATTGGAACACCCCTCAGGAAAGCCAGAGCAAAGCTCAGGTCGTCAGTAGCATCTGCGGAAACTGTGCCGAGAGTGACCCCCATTAGCTTATCGATCACCGAGTCTACGGTGCGAATCTCTCTCACATGAAGCATTGCTGAAAACAAAGAGGACTGCAGTTGTCCAAATATAGCACAACCCTCCTTCCGCGCTTCCCGTGTCAAGTTTAGCTCTGGTTTATTGACAGTGTGCAAGCGACAGGCCAGTAACGAAAGCACACAACGAGCAAGCAAGCGAAAAATGTAAGGATTAGCCCTGCATATCTGCGGCAATGCGCTTCCGTTGAAACTGCTCCAAGTGGTCAGCGGCCAGATCTCGCCTTGACTGAGATTGGTTTGGAAGGACGAGGCAGAGAAAAATGCGTGTCTTGTGCCGAAGCACCTTGAGAAGTTCTTGAACCACATAATCTTGGAACAATCTAGTGGCATTTGGGTCGGGAATCTCGGCTGGTGCCTCGATTGGAACACCCCTCAGGAAAGCCAGAGCAAAGCTCAGGTCGTCAGTAGCATCTGCGGAAACTGTGCCGAGAGTGACCTTCAATAGCTTCGCGATCACCGAGTCCACGGTGCGAATCTTTACGACATGAAGCATTGCTGAAAAAACAAGACTACAAAAACTCTCGGCGCTCCAAATTTAGCGACCCATTCTGCTTCAGTGCTTCCCGTGTCACGTTTGGCTCTGATTTATTGACAATGTGCAAGCGACAGGCCAAAAAGCGAAAGCACACAAAGAGCAAGCAAGCGAGAAAAAAACCCAAAAAAATAACATTAGTCCTGCATATCTGCTGCAATTCGCTTCCGTTGAAACTGCTCCAAGTAGTAAGCGGCCAGATCCCGCCGTGACTGATCTGGGTTTGGAAGGACGAGGCAGAGAAAAATGCGTGTCTTGTGCCGAAGCACCTTGAGAAGTTCTTGAACAACATAATCCTGGAACAATCTAGAGTAACTGTCTCTAAATCCGGACGCATTACAGACCTCGAGAGTTGCATTTTAATCCGGATGAGGCGTTTTTCTCGCAGTCTATTCATCGCTTCGCCTCGGCTCTTTCACCATTGTACATAAATCGAGTTGGTTATCACATGGAGTGTCTTGTTGAGGTGGCTGCGATCGTCGCGGGGTGGTTTGGGCGACTCGCCGAGGCGGCTGGAAAAAACCGACGACCGATCGCCATCGCCATCGCCCTCAAGCTGCTAACCCCGGGTCCGCTGACCCTCTCGACTGGTTGTACGACAACACCATTTCAATGGACATGTGAACAGGTCGCCGCGCGGCTGGGGCAGGCTGGCTTCAAGTGCGGAAAGTCGACTGTCAGTGACTGGGCTCAACTCCACGCGGGCCACCGCGAACTGATTCAGTCTGGAACGCTGGATGAAGTGATCGAGCTGGCGCGGTCCACCCGCACGAAAGGCCGACCACCCATCTTTACCGATCACGAAGTTGATGCAATTATCAATTTATTGGAAGCGTTTGCTCGCGCGTCATGCTGTCTGACGAAAGCGCAGGCCGCCAAGTACTTGAAACCGTGTTCTGAAACAACTTCTTTCGACGGCTCACCAAGGCGGGCGTTTGTCCAAGACACGCCTAGCCGGTCCTGGTGGGCCACCTTTTTGAAGCGAGCGAAGGGACGCGTCAGGCTTCGAAAGGGCCGTGTGCTGGAAGTGTGCCGGGCTGCAGCGCTGACACCCGACAATCTCGGGACTCTCCCGACTCAACTCAAACAGGCCTACGATCAACATCCTCTCCTTACCGTCGAGCCGAGCCGCGTCAGCAACTTTGACGAGAGCGAGATTTCTTCTCGCGTCAAGGGATCGACTGTATTAGGGGCATCGTGGGGTCGTGTCGCGCTCGTTGGCGGTGGGCACAACAACAGCCTCGGACGGCACATCACCGGCGTCTTCTTGGTGTGTGCCGATGGAACTGCGCCGCTCCCTCCCATGCTGATTTTTACGAAGGGTACGAACGTCGCGACGGTTTGCCAACACGTTCCCATTGACGCCTGCTCTACCGCAACGACCGAGAAGGGGTACATGACCTCAGACTTGTTCAAAACTTATCTGCGCGAGTGGCGAAGCTGCATGCGAGAAAGACACCCGTCAGGCCCGCTGCTTTTGATCATGGATGGCTCATCCACGCACAGCCT